TCCCCCCCTTTTAATCTCCCCCCACTTTTTAATCTAAATATTTGGTTCGTTTTCCAGCCCTAGTTACGAAGCTATGATAAATTTTTGTCCCCTTTCAGTTTTGGTTTCTTATTGATAGTTGGGCAAGCGTTGTGTACTTTGCTCAGATCGCTGGGTCTCTGATTCTTGATTATATATCTAATTTTTTATGATTTTTTTAAATGCTCGTGATTCTAAATTGAAGTGTGCATAGCGCCTAGAAATATGTTTAAAATTACCACTGAACCCCTCGGTAATTTCTTATAACAAAAAACCCCCTAAAAATGGCATTGCTTGTTCTTGTGTCGTCAAATGATCAAAATGCCCCCAATAAGTTTGGTAGTTTACCCTTCTTATACCTAAGTTCCGACAGCTTTTGGTAGAAAACCCTAATAACATATGTTTATCATTTTTTTATACTTTTTCAAGTGTTTGTTTAAAAACTTCATAGCTCTTAGAAGATTGTTTGTAATTTTTTAGGGTTTTGTTTGTAAATTTTTAGGATTTCTTTGTGATTTTTCTATTTAAGGGTATGTTTTAAGTTTTTAGAATTTTAGGGGAGGGGTTTGTTTACAATTTTAGATTTGGCAGTGTATAGTTTATAATTTTTTTATTTTAGATTTGTATACTTTATAGTTTTTTAGAATTTTTTGAAATTAAGTCATAATGATGATTGCCGTGCTGATGGTGGGGGATATTTTTAAGGACCTGTAACTTTATTTGTTTATTTCTACTTTTCCCTTTTTTTACTATTAAGCGTTTATTTGCATGTTTACATAATCTTTTTCTTCAAGATTTTTTTTCCTTCTTTGCTCCACTTAATTCTTTAGTTCACAAAACTGTTTCTTATTTTCATTTGAGTTTTCCTTCTGGTGATTTTACCCAAATTAGATGTGTTTATCGAGTGCACTGGGCCAGAGTCTACATTGAGTAACCACGATGATTGCTCTCCAGCCAAGCCAAGCCAAGCCAAGCTCCCCAATCTCAAACATACTGCAATCGACAAGGACCAAAATAAGTAGTTCTCCACTGGTTTGTAAATTAAATCAAACATGTTGATTAGCAAATTAAAGCAAAATGATCGTATCTGTAGGCAATTCGAATGGAAACATGCTCGTCCATGAGATCTCTCAACCAAAAGCAACACAATGACCGGAATAAACAATCTGATTCCGTACAAGTTCCGTACCAGCAGCTCTTGTACAGTTTGAACTTTCTCAATAACAAAGCAAAATCCATCTTTTGATCTTCAACTCTTACCAGTCATCAGGATCTCGTTACGTGTAAGGAGATCAAAACACGCTCAAAAAAACCTTCAAAATTCCATATACACATCAAAGTACAGATACAATCGAAAGACGCAACATCGATTACATCCGGTGCATGTTATTCATATAATAAGCATCGCAAAACCTCATAACGTTTCATACATGATCCAAAAGACGATAGAGGTAGGAGTTGAACAAATAAGATCGATACACTTAGAAGTTAATACATCCCAAGCCCCTTCCAAATGCTTGCAGAGATGTCATCCAGACTCACTTGGAGGTTTCTCTTTGGGGTGTTTCGAACTGTAGTGATCGCCAAGCTGGTTTTGATTTGCTAGCTGTACCTGAATAGCACAGCATGAGAACGATGAATTTGGTTAAAAGAAAAAGACGGATAAACAAACATAGTCATGCAGGTAATCGTCTTCTAAGCCGAGGCAGACTCCAACAAAATAGCTGAGGAAACATTTCTTCATAATTCAATTGTGAAGGCGTACATGCAACAATCTTTTGCAACAAGTTCATGTTTTTAATATCTAAATGAAAATCAACTAGGGCTAGGACAGGATTCTTTAAGTGATGCAAAATGGTACATTTGACAATTGTAAGCACGCCCATGCCGTGGATTATGCTATACTTTAGCAAGGGAGATCGCTTAGGAGATTTTAATAGTCTATTCCCATCAAATGATATGTTTTCCTCGTGATAAATGGAACATATTCTCGTCTTTTGAAGTCTATGATAGTTGTAAATAATGAAGTAAAGTTCTACATCTACCAAGGTATATCTAGTCCCTTAATATTCTCAAACTCACTCACTGATTCTCTGAGCTCCCGCATTTACATTCACATATCTTTGTACCCAACCATCTACCTGAAGTAATCTATACGAAAGTGCAATTTACCTCGGTGTTATGGTCCGTCGAGTGCTATGGGGGCATTCCTACACCTTTTTATGGCATCCGGGTTGGTGAACTCATAGAAAAGATTTGGCTTATATTTTCTTAATTCAATTTTCCTTGAAATGAGCAACTTTACCAGCTAACAGCAAACAAAAAGGTTTCCTCTGCAGCCGTCATTTGATCCACAGAATGAAAGGAGCGGCGGCACTCAAAACAAGTTTTCAGCTACAAGTTTGCTAATGATGCAAAGCTACTGCTAAATGATGATCATCAATAAAATGTGCAAAAATTCAATGTAAAACAAGATGATCGAAAAGAGAAAATTAAACATCAATCGCCACTCCAAACTTCTCTTATCTTACCAATTCAAATAGCACAATAGAGAAAAGACAGCATAATCATTTCTACAAACTACAAAAAGATGGAAACTTTTCACGTCAATCAAACGCACACTCGTGATTCTTAGGTTTGAACCTAAATCAGGAGCCCCATCACAGAGAAAATATGAAAAAGATCCCATCTTTACCCATAATTTCCAGATTTAAACAGATGGGCAATCCAGAATCCTAAACTAATGGAAATCTAAAAGGGGGGAAAAGATTATCTTTTCTCACCTTGCAGATTGGGCACGTGACCTTGAGGGCGACGGCCCTGGCCTCGAATTGAGATCCCTTTTGCTTCTGATTCTTCTCTGCGTTCTTCCTCTGTGCCTCTATCTTCTGCTTTCCCCTCGTCATCCTCTTCGTCTCCTCCTCCTCCTCCTCCTCCTCTTTCTCGACACGGTTGATCAAATCCAAGGGCGGACGCCAAAGATGATGGTAAACGATATTGAAATGTGTGCAGAATCTTGGCTGAGGTCCGAGTGGCGCTGGTCGGACACGTGCACCGTGCAAAGCTAGTACCGCGTGTTCAGGATATAATAAACATTGGATAATACAGAGTTTGGTGAGGGATGTTCTGGGGATTTTATTTCTCATTTTTATTTTGCAAGAAATATTTCCCCATGTTTTTTCTTGTGCAGATTTTTTATTTTTTTTAAGAGCAAACCAAAATATTACACATGTGATGATGACAAGCGGGCAACAAGCTGCGCCGCTAATCCTTTCTAAATTGCAAAACTCAACCGACGATTTGGTCGGGGTGAGCTATTTTTATTGTGCTACCATGCATGATCTAGTAATTTTATTTTAATAGAAAGAAGAACAACTCCCAAAGTCGTTAGTATTAGATGGAATACAATACAACTTGAAACTACGGAAAAAAAAACCTAGTTGAGGGTCCGATCTTATACAAAGACGAGACTATTTTCATTAATTTTTTCTCTTCCTTTCCTTCTCTTTTTTTATCCCCCAATTTGAGGGGTAAGATTTTAGTTCAACTTTCTCCCTCATTCACTTCATTTTAACCTTTTAAATGGAACACCCAAACAAAAATAAACCAAAATTTCCCTTTCCCTTCCCTTCTTTACCCTCCATCCAAACAGGCTATTACAGTGTGTTTGGGAGATCATCTAGGGAAGGGAAGGAAAGTTCTCCTTCCTTCCATTCCCCTTCATTACACCCTAATTTGGAGTGTAAGATTTTGGCTTAAATTTCCCCTCATTCCCCTCATCTACCCTTCTACGTGAAACTCCCAAACAAGGTTAAAATTAAATTTCTCTTCCCCTCCCCCTCTCTACCCGCCATCCAAACAGGCCACAAGGGGATGCCTAGCTTCTTAGCCCCTGATTGGTCAATATAGGCATCAAATTTCTGTGCAAGAACTTCTACAGGAATTGTTTGGATTTGTCCAAACGTCTGCAGAGATGTCATCCAGACTCGCCTGGAGGTTTCTCTTTGGGGTGTTTCGAACCGTACATTTTCCCTTGCACCTCGATCCAACTACTTCCCGTCTCTTTCTTAACCCCCCGAGCTCTCATCAATGCTCTCGTTCTCGCTGCATCCTCCCACTTCCCTTTCGCAGCATAAATGTTCGACAAAACGGTATACATTGCTCCATCCGAAGGTCGAGCATGTAAAACCTTTTTGGCCACGACTTCTCCCAATTCCAAATTTCCATGAGATTTGCACGCACTCAGTAATGTTTCCCAAGCATTTGTCTGAGACTCCACCGGTATTTCACTGATGAACTGATAAGCCTGGTTAATGAACCCATATCTCCCAAGGAGATCAACAACACAAGAGTAGTGTTCAGGCTTGGGTACCAATTTCCAATCTTTTTGCATAGACCTAAAATAATGACAACCTTCATCAACCAAGCCTTTATGAGAACAAGCTAACAAGAGGCTCAAAAATGTTACTTGGTCCGGATGAAACCCATTTTGGATCATTGTGTTGAAGAGTTTGAAGGCCTCCAATGCAAATCCATGGCAAGCATATGTTGCGATCATTGCATTCCATGAGACTGTATCTCTCTTCACCATGGATTCAAATACCAAGGCAGAATCGTGAATGAACCCACATCTTGAGTACATAGAAATTAATGAACTCATTACCAATGCATCATGTTCAAATCCAGCTCTGATCACATATAGATGCAGCATTTTCCCCCAACCAAGAGCAACAAGAGATGCACATACCGAGATTACAATGGCTAGTGTCCCTTGATCAGGCTTAAACTTTTGTCTAACCATTTTACAAAACAAAGCCAAAGCTTCTTCGTTTCGATACCCAGAAATTAGTGTATTCCATGAGGTTTCACTTCTTTGCGGCATGTTATCAAACCATCTCAATGCATTAACCACATCGCCTCTCTGAACATAACCTTGTAAAATTGTATTCCATGACACAATATCTCTCTCGGGCATCTCTTTAAACAATCTCAAAGCATCATCCAACAAGTGATTACTTACAAACCCACCCATCATCGTGTTCCAAGCCACAACATCTCGATTTGGCATCTTATTAAACAATATGTGAGCATCGTCAACATTTCTATTTTTCAAATAGCCATGGATCATTGCAGTCCAAGAAATTGTATCCTTTTCTGGCATCTCATCAAATAAATCTCGAGCGCGTTTCATTTTTCCGGCTCTTGAATAGCATGTTATCATGCTATTCCATGAGATAACATCCTTTGCGTCAATTTGCGAGAAAAACTCCTCTGCGTCTTTAAGGAGTCCAAGCTCAACATATCCTGACAAAAGAGCATTGCAAAGAGAAGCCGATCTCAACCTCGCTTGATCAAACAAGCTTCGTGCTTCAACAACACGCCTTAGCCTAAGATAACCCGAAATCATGATCGACCACGAAGCACTGTTTTTCATGGGCAATGGCATCACATCAAATAGCTCTCTTGCTTCCCGAATCTTTCCATTGTTTATGTACCCTGAAATCATGGAATTCCAACAAACCACATTTCGGTCAGGAATTCTATCAAACAGGCTTCGGGCTTCTTCTATTCTCCCGCATTTAGCATATCCGGTCATCAATGCGGCCCAAGACACAATATTTCTTGTCGGCATTGCGTCGAAAACTCTCTGAGCGTCTGAAACCCTATCACTTTGGATGCATCCGGTGATCATACAGTTCCAAGTGACAACATTTTTGCAAGGCATCTGATCGAAGTAGTTGAACGCTCCCTCTATTTGGCCATTTCTGAAGCAGCTTGTGATGGCAGAGTTCCACCAGAAAATGTCCCGGCGAGGGTTCGATGTGAAATCCGAAGGTTGAGTTGATGGGTTTGTCGTCAAAAGGCGTTTGAAGGAGAAAAGGAGCGATCTTTGGTGCTGAGATCGGATTCGGGTCAGCACGTGATTCATTAATTCTCATTCCTCCTGAGTCTGCGAAAATGAAGAAAGCGGGAGAATGACCGAACGGTTGCGGCGTATGCGAGGGAGAAAAGATCACTTATTAAAGAAAGGTGAATTTCTTGCGGTCGCGACGATCTTTAAGGTGATGGCGGCCGGCGGAAAGTTCAGGCGAGGTGGTGAGTTCCGGCGATGCGGGGACTTCAGGCGAGGTGGTGAAGGCGCGCGGCGACAAGGCGGCAGGAGTCTCGATGATATTTAGACTTTATTTTACTAATAGAGTTTTTTTTTTTCTAACCAAAGGAATAGATTCAAATCCATGAGCACAGTCCGAAAGAAATTTCCAATAATAAGCATGAAGAATTAAAATTTCTTTCCTCTCATATTTCTCCTTTTCATGGGCATGGGAGTTCTACATTTTATGTTGCCAATTTATTTCGTCCAAAACATCAGTCGCCGATTCACTGTTTATTGTTGTGAACTTCATACGGAGGATAAATGTCAAGCACAAGAATAGCATACCGATCCTAATCCACAACAACAATAACAAACAGCAAAACCTTTTAATTCCAAATACTCAAATACCACACGATTAAAGAGAACAAGAAAATTGTGACATATTATCAAATTGGTGCTCCACAATTAACCCAACTGAAAAAAAAAAGCCAGTATACTGTTGGTCTTCACTCATTTCCCACAACAGAATAGTACGTTTCAAAACAGCAGAGGCATCCTAATCTGGGAGAGCAGTTCCTCTCTCCAAGTTGTTCTTGATCTCAAGAGTGTACTTTCCAAAAGCTCTCTCGATCTTCTTGTTGAAATGTTCATTCCTATCATTGATCGAATCGATTCTTCTCTTCATGCGAACTACGCCTCCTGCTGAAAAGATTGCCGCTTCGCTATCTCTTGTCCTGAAGCTCTTTCACCATTCTGTCTACATTTTCCTCCGGCATCTTCGCAATCTGAGACAAATAAATTGATTTGGAATTATACTTTGTATACAATATAAAACACGCAAAAATGAGGAAAATCATGGTGAATGTATTAAAACTTGAACGTTGAAGTCATTTATCTAAGTAACTTAAGGCACAATAATATCTCAAGCTTTATCAAAGATGACAAGAAAAGAAATCTTGGTAGTGACGAAGAGAAATTCACAGTAAATTGAGATAAAACTGTTGAATGTGTTAAGATTAAGAGATACTGTGATTTTCAGCACAAGTTTTGGAGCTAAATCTTCAGAAAAGAAGCTTAGTTTTAGATCAAGGTGCAAAATACCTTTCCATACTGAAGACTTGAAGCATCACGATAGAACTCAGGATCAGCCTCTTTCGCTTTAGTATAAGCCTCCATGTCGCAATCTATGTTCTTTGTGCGCTTCTTGTAAGCATTATACAGTGTTTTCTGATTGAAAACTGGTCACAGAACATTTTGTTCTGTCAGTTAATGATCAATATCCCTAAGTTACAAAATAAAAAGAGATACTAAAATGAAAAAAATCAAAAACTCACCATCCCAGCCAGATGGAGCAGGTTCCTTCTCCCATTTCTTATACTTCTCCTCAGCCTTCTCTTGAGTATCAAGCATGTAGGCCTTTGACATATCTAAGCCATTTGAATCAAGCAGCTTTCCAATCTTTTTCTTCCTCTCCTCCATCCATTTTTGTTTAGAAATGCCCCTTGATTCAGGAGGATCTTGCTTCTTCTTCTCTGCCACCATGGCCATTTGATTGGCTTTTCTTGCTTCGTTCTGCATATAAATAACCGAATAAACAATCAGGGAAGACACTTAACTTGAAATCTAATTTAGGGAATGACCGGCTGCAAGACATGGATTAAGTTACCATTTTAAGCCTCAGCTCAAATAGTTTCTTTTGCCTCTCATTGAGATGTGGATACCCTTCTTCGGCATTGGTCTGGACATCCTGGTCACTAGCACCAGCATTTTCTCCTGGAGGAACTTCATTTTGATGAGAGGGATTGGAGGAGTATGGGGCACCATCTTCTTCTTGCATACCTGTATAAATGTATATATTGTATATATTAAATGTTGAAGTATCAAAAAGAGAACCGCTGCAAGGAGTTAACCAAATATTAAATCTTGTGAAAGACCCTTCCATCAAGATTGACAACAGAAGGAAAGTGGATCCGCTCAGATATAAAAGAAAATCACTGAGTTAGTTACAAGGCATGTATGGTTCAAAGGAACGCGTGAGAGAAGTTTATGATTAAAGTTGTGCAGATAAATATAATGCTTGTAGATCTAGCTCCAGAATGCAAAGCTTACACACATGAAGCGAGAAGGAGAGCAATAAGGGAGGATTCTATTAAACTTGTAAGCTAGCAAACCAGCAGCCTACTAATTTTCCTAGGCCATTTACCTCTACTTGAGCATCAGAACACTGTCAAAGAGAACTTGAAAAGACCATGTAGACGAAAAGGAACACTCACCATTTACAGGGTACGAGACTTTCCTATTTCAGTATTCAGTATAACATCAATATCAAAGTTAATCAAATGCATAATCTACTAACTTCACATAAAACTCCAATAGAACAAATCAAATATGTTGTGTACATCTCACCACATGCAATCAATATAACCTTGCAGGGTAGTAAAGTTAAGCCATTCACTAAATGGAGGAAGCCTAATCATTCTGCATCTTATTGCATAGCAGTTGTGCATTTTTCACTCCCATGGCCATGAGTCCTATACAGAAAATAAAAGCATGAATATAACTGGTCTAGTTCCAAGCGGATGCAAAGAGCCAATAACATCAAAGCCTAGCTGAACCACAATTCCTGATACCTTGATTTTAGCTGAATCTAGCAAATAAAATAAAAATAAAAAATTAAAACAATAAAAAAGGGCTGCTACTACAAGTATTCAATAACTCAATCTCAAACAAACTCTTCCAATTTCATATCATAATCAACTTATTAGCCTCTTCCAAAGCATTATCCCAAACTTGTGAGAAATTATCAGATTTAACAGTGAGAAATTATATCAAATAATCCTACTTCATCAAAACCCAAAACCCATAACAAAAAAACAAACCTGATTCATCCTTCTCTAACTTTTCCTTCGCCTCCACAATCTTCCTGAAGCAATACTCACTACACTCATGATAAGGATTCGATGCATTGACGCAATCAGGATGCACTGTTCTCTCCTCTAATTTCTTTGCAGCATCCTTCTCGCTCTCTAAAACAAAAATAGAAAAAATGAAATTTTGAAGAAAACTCAATAAAGAAAAGGGGAAAAGATACAAACTGAATCAAGAAAAGGCGGAAAACCTATTTTTTCAGCATCGGCCCGTTCTTTAGCTTCGGCGATCTTTTTGTGACAGTAATCGACACACTCGTGGTAGGGATTAGATGCATTGATGCAATCAGGATGAGTCTTTCCCATCTTTAGAATCGAGAAGAGAAATCAAAAAACCTAACCCTAGAAAACTGCAAAAAGGCGAAATTGATTGGTGAGCATAAAACAATAAATCTGAATCAAATAGAAATCAGTTTAAGGAGAGTACCGTTGCTTCTTTCAATTTTTTTTTTCCTGAATCGATTGTTTTTACTCCGAGTTGCAACTTGAAAAGGCCTGACGAAAATGAGAACAGAATCAATATTATTACTTAATTAGGGTTTTAAAGATATTAGTCCCTTACATCATTAGTATTCTGATATTAGTCCCCCAAATCTTCATAATTTGATATTAGCCCCCCAAATCAAGGATCCTATCAGAACACCCCACAGGAATGGGTGATCTATACCATTCACGAGGGCTAGAAGGTTAGTTTGGAAATCCTGCCTATTATATCAATGGTGTAAATCATCCCACTCCTATAGGAGTGGTTCTGATAGGATTCATACTACCAAATCACCTTAATATGCTAATATGAGTCCTTACGTTAGCTTAACTGATTGGATTTAGACTAATCATGAGTGAGTAATTACCTTATTACCCCTCTTTCTCTACTCTACCTCTTACCCGGTTGGTACTTTTTCTATCCTCTAAGTCTTCTAACCCCATCAACATCTTCTACTCTCTGGTCCCTTTATTTCTTCCCTCTCTTCATGTAATTCAAGCAAAAACAAATAAATCCTCTATTTCTTCAAGCCCCATCCTCTTCATGCCAGTCAAGTCCTTGGTTTTTATGGGTTGATTGATAATGTACCATTGGGAGAAAGAAGAATGTGAAATGGGCTTGGGTTTGAGGGGTTTTAACAGGTTTAAGTTTAATGTGTTGTGCGTTTGGGTAGTGAACTGAGAGTTATATTCAAGAAAGAAGTCAAAGAAAACGGAATATTTTCCATCAATTTTAGCACCAACTAATTAGAAGGACTAATATCACCATACTTAAGTAATTTGGAGGGCTAATATCAAAATATGAAGATTTGAGAGACTAATATAAAAATACTAATGATTTGAGGGACTAATATCCTAAAAACCCTATTTAATTTTTTTTTTCCTATTTCTTTAAGATGAAGAAGTTTTTTTCTCGCTTCGATCCATATAGAAAGGCCTATACGCCTTTTGTTTATCACCTCTTTGCTTGATAAGCTGCTCATAGCCTATTGAACAAAATCATTGAAGTCCGCACGGTGGCCATGAGGGCAACAACACGTACAATACGTGTATACCATGATCTTGACTTATGTAATCAACATACATGTACAATTGTGCAGGCGCGCGAGCGCGCGGGCGTGGATATATATATGTATGTGTGTGTATGTATGTATGTGTATGTGTGTGTGTATACACACACATATGTTGTATATGTATGTATGTATGTATATCTATATGTATATGTATGTGTGTGTGTGTGTGTGTAATGAAAATGCAAGCAAATTTGGTTCCCACTTTGAATATCTCTATCCACTACAATAGGACCTGGCGTTTCCATTTAATTTCCTATAATCATCAAGTATTAACCACACAACCACTAACTAATCACATGTAGAAACGTATTAAAAAATTGAATCTGAACAAGGAAAAAAAATGAAATCAAGCATACAGAAAACCGAAAACAAAAAGATGAAACTGAAATAAAATTGAACAAAAAAATGAAATTAAACTCTATGAACCTGATATACTTGGCTAAATGCACGTTTCAATTTTTTTAAAAGAAATATCAAATACGAAATCAACAGTAAAAAAAATCAAGCAGACAGATTTCTTCATCGAACTAATAAAAATATGAAAGTGAGAATTACAATCTTATATTACTCAAAATTTGACGATTTAGATACTATACAACAGAGATCCCAACTCAATTACGAACTAGGTTTCAATTTTGAAAACCCCAAAAAACCCTAAAACTTAAAAAACTAAAAATTACTCACTAATTCTCTTCTCCGTCTCTCGTCGAAATCCGGCGAACCCCAACTGAAGGTTTTTGCTCGGCGTCGAAGCGGATCGGTTTGGAAACGGAGCAGCTTAAGACGAAGAGAGGGGAACGGAGAAGATAAAAGGGGAAGTCGCTCGGGTTTTTACACTTAAAAACGCTATGGGTTTGGGTAATCGGGTATGGTTTTTAACCCGATAAGTGGAAACGGATTTTTTTGGACCAGACCCGTATCGAATCCGCGTCCAACACGTATTGGACGCGGACTCGTTGGCCCAAATAACATGTCCGTGTCACGCAGCATCCAGATACCTGGTGGCCCTGGCCGTCAATCTGGTTTGAGCGGTGCATATAGGAGACGCCTGTCCGTTGTTGGCAAATGATTATAGTTTGGCGATTAGAAGCACCATAACAGATACAAATACATGTATATCTCCGTGAGAAAAATTAATATCCATGGCTAGGCACAAGCTCTACTAAAATCGAATACAGACACAGATATACATGCGGATACAAAATAGATACGGGAAAACCGTATAATATTGAAAAGTATAGCTCATATCATACGAGAGAGTTCGTTAATAATATATGTGTTAGTTATTATATCTTAAAACTAAGAGAGTGTTTGGTAACTCATTCGCTAAACTAGGTTAGCGGAGCTAACATGAATGAGGCTTTGTTTTTTGTTTGCCTTAAATCAGATTAGTGAAGAGTTGCCAAAACCAACGTAAGGTTATATTTGGTGATCATAACAGTAACCTTCGAATTTATTCATCTAAATGCTAAAACAATTGCAAGATATATATTTTGACATTTTGAATACAAACTCGGATACATCTACTTGCGCACCCATATTGGTAAGGGCATCTCCAACCCAGCAAAAAAATGGTGCAAACAGTGTTTTTTGTTGCACTGTTCATTCTCTAACACAGCCTCATTTTGGTGCAGTAGAACAGTGCTGCACCAAATATGCCGTTGCACTGTTCATCCACCCCATTACTGTTCATTTTTCAAAAAAATCTAAATATTTTTTTTACCTCTTAATTAATATAAAAATAGATAAAATGAAATAAGCTGAGAATATTTTGAGGATATTCTTTTTTGGTACAAAAAATGGTGCAATGGGTTGGAGATGTATTACTATTTGATGTGACTTTTGCACCATTTTGACGTAAAATTTGCATCATTTTGGTACAATGGGTTGGAGATGGTCTAATCATATGCTATATCCGGATACGACTCTTTTGGAGGACAAATTTTCAAAACCATCCCATTTGCGATTTTATTCCCAAAAAAAGACCCATTTCCTCTTTATTTGTAAAAACCGACCTAGTTTCAGCCTCAACGCTGAAACCAGGTCGTTTTTTACAAAAAAAGTTCCGAAACTTCACGGGAGTTCAACTCCCGTGAAGTTTAGCAGCTTAATTAAATAGCTGTTAAACTTCACGGGAGTTCAACTCCCATGAAGTTTCTTAGTTAAAAAAAAGTTGAGCTGTGGAACTTCACGAGAGTTGAACTCCCGTGAAGTTTAGCAGCTTAATTAAATAATTGCTAAACTTCACGGGAGTTCAACTCCCGTGAATTTTCGGAACCTTTTTTGTAAAAACCGACCTGGTTTTAGCCCTGAGGCTGAAACGAGGTCGGTTTTTACAAATAAGAGGGAAATGAGTCGTTTTTTGGGAATAAAATCTCAAAAGAGGTGGTTTTGAAAATTTATCCCTCTTCTGGAACCACGTGGCCCAGAAAATATCGGAAAAAATATTATAAATGCCAACTAGCGAAAGGACCCGGACCCAATTGTGATCTTATCGGTACCTATTTCTACACCCGACTCGACGCGAACCCATTAATTTAATATATAAGCCTGTTAAAAGTTAGGGCTCAGTTCGCTCCTCTCTCTGTGTTCCCCATTTTACTCCCCAAAACCCCGATCTCTTCAAACCCCGTCTCTCTCTCTCTCTTTTTTTCCCCTCCTGCTCATCATCTCGCTTTCGTTCCAATTTGCGACCGGTGTTCTCGCCGGCGGCGGCGTCCTTGACTTCCGACTGATCCTATCTCCGGCGACGTAAGCTGCTACTCTTATTTTTAACTCTCTATCTATTATTCGTTCCTGATACCTTTTTCTTGAATATTGTTAGCACCTTTATTTTTTGTAGTTCTTTTACCAGTGTATGCTCTTCTTGTTTCAAGATTAAATCTTTAATCGAAAAGCTCGAATTTTTAGCGCTCTTTAGCAAATTTCTAGGCTGTTCAAGGAGTACTTTTCTCCCCCCTTTTGGAGTAGGATTGAATATGATATTTTGACTTTAATGATCTCGTTCGAAAGTTAATTTCTTGAATTCCTATTTCTTTTTCAATTTAGGCAGTAATTTAACCAGAACAGATAAACTCGTGGATACATGTTAAATAGACCTATTTCTTTTTTTTATTTATTCTGAATGCAAGCTCTTTAAACTTTGCAAAAAGTTATTACGGTAATTATCTTTTTAGACTCTATCAACTGATTCTCCTCCCCTATTCGAATGCTTTTGCAGCTGGTCTGTTGATTACTCATCGTGTCTCCCAGATATTTGTGCGGATGGCCAACAATCCTTCCGGGCCACAGGTAGACTATACATCAACACTTCACATCTCTTTTGGATACAAGAAAAACCTAATATTTTCTGTTAGGAATGAATCAAATACGTATTAATTAATTTGAAAGTCATTTAAGCCACAGGTAGGATCAACAGGTCCACCTAAAATATAGAGCCACCTAAGAGTATGCAGGCGGAATTTGGCGGCATTCAAAGGCTATTCTAGCCTCAACTCTTGTACTTGCTCCTGAAAAAGGTTTAATTATTTTATTCATATTGCAGTTCAGACCTGTGGTTCCACCTCAACAGGGTCATCCATACATGCCTCCGGCATCCCATCAGTTCCTCCCTGTTGGACAAGGGATGGCTGGACCAAACGGTGGAATGCCATCACCCCTTTTTGCGCAGCCACCACAGCATATGCCTCAGAGGTCTGGAGCTCCAGGTCAAGGTTTCCCTTCGTCGCAAGTGACTCCAATGTCATACATGCAGCAAGCTAGGCCACAACACAATGCACCAGTTGCAAACAACCATTTGCCTAATTTAAGTGGAGCTGGAATGTCTCTTTCTTCATCGTATACAGTATGCTCTTTCATGTGCCTACTAACAAATTGTCATTGTTTTTAAACTTTTTTTGCTTTTGATTGACATGTATTTTCTTGACTGCAGTTTGCTACCTCCTATGGCCAGCCACCAAATACTGTCCAGGCTACATCACATTACCTACAAGTCCCCCAAATGCAGACATCTATTGCACCTGCAGGGGGTCAGACTTGGCCTGCACCTGAAACTCAGAATTCGCAGCTTGGTCCCCCTCTCATTCAGGCTGGACAGCAGCCTTCACCTATGGCTGGCATGGTTCCTGTGAGGATTTCTCGATTTTGTTTAGTTTGCCAATAAATATGCCTCTTCTTTCTACTACTTTATTCTTCATGGGCATTGACCGCTTATTCTTCTCTCCGTCTGAAAATTCAGAATTCAGGCGCACATCCTAGCTCCAATGAGGCATCCTCTTCTGATTGGCAAGAACATACAGCTGCTGATGGGAAAAGGTACATGCTAATTGACAATTAATTCTTGCTTTGTTTGCCTTTTTTTAATTCAGTTCTATGTGGCTGAGTTTCATGTCTTATTGGTTTTTAATCTTACCTTAGTCCGCCGTTGATGTAATGTCTGTATTCTTGGCGTGGTATTGATTGCTTGATATTTCCTTTGGTTATAGCTTGCCATTTATCTACCTTTTCTTCCATGCAATATAGATACTATTATAACAAGAAGACCAGGCAATCCAGTTGGGAGAAGCCCATTGAGCTGATGACGCCCCTTGAGGTTAGTTATATTAGTTATGATACATTTCGATTCTTTTGTACACTTCTCATGTTTGTTTTATTAGTGCATCAGCATCAAGTACTTGGCAATTCCTTTCCTGAATGCTGACAATTGTAACCATACTAGTCGATCAAATTTGTTTTATTTGTATTTCTCTGTTTCTTTGCATGTTCTTCTTCCTGGTTTGTAGATATCTTTTGGCACGTCTGGAGCAAAAACCGACTGCTATGTGTGGTCATTGTGAAGGCCAGGTTTCAATTTTCTCAAAGCAGGCAATTATTGCTATTTACCTTTATTTCATAATGAAGGGGTTTTTTCTTTTTGCATGTGACACTAATAATGATTAGTCAATAGAAAGTAGGGTTAATAAAACCTGCCTGCAGTTTATTTATAGTTATAGTTATGGTCCCTTTCATAGAGCCATTTGGTTGTTTTTTTTATATTGTGGCCTTTCGGTACTGTGAATTGACTGAGTTGTCTATTTTCCACTTTGAATCAGTTAGAACTATTATCAAACACCAAAGGCAATGATGTTGTTCCTTATAATAACAGTTCAATTGCTCCCTTTTTTTGTTAATGTGGACAAATTTGTTGCGTGTTTTGCACTAAAATGACTATTGGTCATCTAAGCTGTCAAAATTTAGATATAGCTACATTGTTTTGTTTATGCGTCCCTATTCTCGTGTGTACGTTTATTCTAGTCATTCTAATGAGTTATCTAAAAACCTGTCCAGGTTACAAGGCGAGAAGTCATACATTAAACAAGTATATCAATAATTAGATAGGTTGAATCGGTGCACATAGACGGAGCATCAAGTGATAAATATCATTGCTTCAATCTTCAAACTATCACCTTTTCTTGATTCCTAAGCTGATTTACGTCTTTAGATGAAATCATATTCCTTCCCATCTGGCACTGTAGATGGGTCATGTGTTTATCACTCGTTTTGTAGGGCATAAATATTGATGCTATATTTTTTAAGTCCAGATTGTTATCCGCAGGTGGTATAATACATAGCACTAGTAGTGGTTTAAAGTTTGGATTCACTTGCCAATGCTCGATTTCTATGTAATGCAGATATAGATTCATCTTGTTTCTTATAGTGAGAAGTCATCGTATTTACAATTTGTTCTATTGAGAATCATATGATTTCGCTTTTTTGTCCAGAGGTATTTTCTTACTTTTAATAGAAATGCATCGTATTCTCATTTTTTCCATTTATTGGTTCTTTTTAGAAAGTCGGCTATTTTTTTAAATCGTGACAACATGTCAGATGAACTCTCTTGCATAGATGGACTCCCTTGCATAGACTTATTTCCAGAAGTTATCCCCAAGTCTCCTCTTTTCATGTGTCACGACTGTCATTTTTTGGCTGATTGTTTCATTATTATTAATTGATCAGCTATAGGCAAGATCACTGCTGTTAAGGGAGCAATTTAACACAGTATGATATGATAATATTACATAGTCAAGCTAGTCTTTCAAACACAGGAATGTTTGTTCGTCAGGAGATTGATAGATGTATAATTGATAATGTCACTAATTTACTGTAAGGTCCACTTTAGAGATGTATTCTACCATTGGTGATGATGTAAAAATTGAGGGGCTTGATAAATATTTTTTTTGAATGGTAATAATCTTTTCTATAAAGTGGTTGCTTCAGTAAATTTCACTTTGAGGGTATTAAGGAAGTATATAGTTTGTTGCCGGAAGGCTATCTGTGTCTAATTCTGTGATTTTACAATCTTTTTAACTTTATCGTTTTGAGTAAATTGAAGTCTTTACTTAAAAAGTTTTACTTGTTCATCTACTTTGACTAGTTAATGTGGTCTTTTTATTTGATCATTATTTAAGAGCAGTCCATGCTTGTTATTGTAGTAAAAAGAAATCAAATTATATAGTAGTTATTAGTTAATTGGAAAATTTCCCTTATTAGATTATTTAATTCATAATAGATTATCTGAAAAGGAAAATTGGAATAACCAACATCCCTTAAGCTATGATTCTTTTCTTTGAAATCTACAATACCATTGAAAGTTTATGTATTTCTTTTTACGGAAACCGGTTGTCCTTTCCTGTTAAAGTTTATACTATAATAACAATCTTGTCTCTTCCCAACCATGGACCTTATAAGTCTTTGAGTGTGTTTAGGAGGTCTTATTTTTTGAAGCTTATAAGCTATGTTGGGTTTTAGTGTCTTTTGGCTTTTATGATGAAAACTTTATAAAACTTGTATGGGTAGAAAAGTTATTCACTTGGTGAAACTTAGCTTATTTAGATGAGCTTATAAGGTAGTTATTCAAAAGTAGCTTATTTAAATGTGACTTAAAAGGTAGCTCATTTGAGGTGTCACCAAACATGTAGATATGGTCCATATGGATAAACTAGTTTAAAAGCTCCTTGACCAAAACATCAGCTCCCCCAAATACCTTCATAATCTATTGCCAGCCGTTAACTATTTATTCCCAGGTCTCATTATTTGAATATAGCTACAGGTTTTACCTATATTTTACTCACTATATCCGTTAATTTAATGTTTATGCTTGATGAAACTTGACCTTTCTATGATATTGTTCCAAATTAAGCAGTACAGATCTGTTGTGCGCTCTATTCTAAATCAAGCATCCTGTCATTTGACTACTGTACTCTTAGTTTCTTGGATATGTATAACATTCGATTTCTATCCTGTTTTAATTAAAAACAACTGAGCATATTTAAGATTTTATGGATCTTAAGCTTTAGAAGTGTCTACTTACTGTGATCTCGATCTTGTATATGATATGCACGACATGCTGTATACCACAATGACATTAACTACTTGCATAAGTTCCATTAGTAATTTTAGCCTTATATTCTCAGGCAATGTTTCATTTGCTTATTTAATGTCCAAACTTCTATTTATAATCTTGTTCCAGCCAGAGTTACCATTTCTTTTCATCTTATACTGATGGTCAATTTCTGTCATCATCTAATCATGATAGATGATTTGGGTATGACTAAGTTTGATTGGTATCGATGCCCTTGACTTAAATAGTCCTTTTTAAGGTCGGTCCCAGGTACATGATATCTACACTCTAGAGGTATGATGTGATATATTTTTGGATGCATGCTTGTTGTTCATCCTTGCCATAATGATTAAATTTTATCATGTATTGTCAATTCAAGGTTACTTGAGAACTGTAGCTGATATTTGTCCTTCTGTAAAATAGTTTCTCGTTCTTGATGCAAACTCTATATATTTTATCTCTTCATAGTCTTGCTTTACATACAAAATCCTCTTGTTGCTAGAGCAATCTACAGATATGGCCCAGTATTTAAAGTTTTGTGTGAAATAACTTTCAACATGGATGGGAGATTACCTTTCTGACTTTCTTTGCCCTTTTCCGTTATAACATGTAAAGTGATAGTGCCACTTCATCCTATTGGTTGTCTTTCATTGGGGAGTCATATTAGTTCATTATATCATTAATGGTTCGCAAAGTTACAGATTGTTTGTACATATATCTCAATACCATACACAAGTTTCCATGTCATTTATGGTCGTAGACTGGTAATCAAGTTTGTCTTATCAAACTTCAGTTTTATCTTGACATTGTTTTGGTATGTTTATTTTTGTCAATGAAATTAGGTTATGAGACAACAAATTTGTAAAAAGTAGGGTACAAGTATAGGTTATGGGACACAACAAATTTGTAAAAAGTAGGGTACGGGGACGCGGCTATGTAGATGTAGTTATGTATATTTATTTGTATTAAAATTAATAGTTTACATATGATCAATATTATTTTTTCATTTACATAAGGTCAATATATAAGAAATAGATGTGAGGTGTAGAAAAGTAGGGTACGGGTAGAGGTTATGGGACATGACAAATTTGTAAAAAGTAGGGTATAGGGTCACGGCTATATAGATATGTATATTTATATGTATTAAAATTAATAGTTTACATATGATCAATATTGTTTTTTCATTTACATAAGATCGATATATAAGAAATAGACGTGAGGTGTAGAATATGCATCCAAGAAGGGTATGAAAAGTGCTTAAGTTAAAACTATGTAATGTATAATTGAGTAAACGCTTGAATTTGGTATGGGTATGGGTATGGGTTCCGATAGAAGTACCCAGGTAACTTAGCAAAATTTTCTTTCCCCCTTCCTTTTCACTTTAACTTACCCGTTGGACCTAAATTATCTGATTGGTAAATCCAATTAATATCTTTTGCCACTTATATTGCTGTGAATAATTTGAATCTTTTAACTTGTTTACTACTTTATCAGCTGTTCCATTTAGAATAAACACATAATTTTGAGGCAGGTAATTCATAGCTCACTATTGCTTCTGGTAACCTATTTATAGGAATCTGTAATTTTACCTGCAATCTACTCAAATATGCTTTTGAGACTTCTGAGGAATGGGACTTGTGGAATGAACTGAACTCATTTGCGACATCAATGGTTTCTGTAGGAGAAGAACTTTATGGTAGAGAAATCTTCTAGTTTAATCTCAGATTGCTATAAGTCAATGCGCCTTCATTTGTATTTTCATTGCGATATTTCTTATTCTCTCAGTTTCTTAATGACTGCAGAGTGTATTGTATTTATTCATGCTTTCATACCTCTCAATATGTTGGCACACATTTACCTGGACTGTAGACCAAGACAATTTAATAACTATTGTTGCAGAACTTCCGTGGTCTTCCCCCGCAACAACCTAAACTTTACCATTTTCACTCTTTAATACACATTTAATTAAATATTCCTGTAGTTCTCTTGAGGCCCTTGCAATATCCCTAGTGCATTGCATATTCTTTCTAATTATTATCTTTCTGGTTCAACTTTTTAATGTATTTTATGTGTCTATATTTCTGGCTTATTTTAATTTGTTAACTTGTCTCAGAGGGCTGATGCATCTACTGAGTGGAAGGAGTTCACAACTGCAGAGGGACGAAAGTGAGCTTATTCTATTCTTTTTTAATTTTTTCTGTCTGGTTTTTGTTGATACTTAATATTATTAATATCTTATGTCTTTCAGTTTGATGAATGAATGATAATAGTCTTCTTACTTTTGGTTCTTTTTTTGGTGCAGATATTACTATAACAAGGTTACAAAACAATCCAAATGGACTATTCCTGATGAACTCAAGGTTTATTAAGCTTTTGTTTTGTTACTGGTCCTTGTAATATTTCATTCCAGGCATATTGTAGCTTTTGGCTTTCCTTAATTTTAAAATTTTTATTTCAATTTATTTTCAGTTAGCACGAGAACAAGCAGAGAAGGAGGCAGCTCAGCTTAATGTGACACAAACAGCAGCTTCTGCTGATACAGCTACTTCTTTGGCCACAGCAAATGTTGGGACTCCTAAAGTGACATCTGCAGTAGCATCTAGTCCAGTACCAGTGACGGCTGCTAGCGCTGTCATCCCACAAAATGTAACAGCGTCAGGATCTCCACCTTCAATCAATATACCTTCTGTTACAGCTTCTTCTGTTACCTCTGGAACAACAGACGTAGGTGTGTCTCTTGGCACTCCTTCCACACCATCACTCCCTGTTTCTGCAAGTAATGGAGTTCTTTCTGTTGAAATGGATGCTACAACAACTGCAGTGGAGTATGATTATTGTCAATTTTACCTTAACTATTCATTTTTTACCCTTTGCTCATTTATTTTTACTAGCTAATGTTTTTATTTATACTTCTGGCAGCAATGATGAACGTTCATCTTTGCCAAACATTGCAACCCCGCTTGATGGAGCTTCTGCTCAGGATTTGGAGGTATTCCCACATTGAAGCTTTCTTGCCATCTTGCTAAAGCCATATATTAGTTTGAAATTTTTTGCAATATGTATATTTGTCATTTGGGTGGTAGTGATGGCAAATGGGTATTCATTTGAAGGCGAGGCTAGCTATAGCTAGTGATAGAAACAATCAGAAGGCGATGCAACGATGGTCCTTTATTTGATTTTTACCCTCTTCTTTTCCAACTCTTAAACAAGGCAGTGGTGGCTTAACTGTGGCTCTTGGCCTTACCCAGGTGCCGAAGAGGTCCCTGCCTTGGTTTCCACTTCACTTCTCTTTAAAACATAATTAGCTACAGGTCTTGGGCAGCTAACGTTTGTGAACTCAATTAAAATTTTAATACACTTAATTAATAATGAAGTCCTAGGAGATGCTGCGGATGCCAAGTAGGTATTTCGACAATTTGTTTGATAACATCATATTCTCAGAAACATCAGTACCCCCAAAATATGAAAAGGAAATTTTTTGTGTGCATACTTGCTAGCATGGACAGATTGCATTGCATCCTTCTGTCTATTTTTTTCTCGGTTTCAGGGAGTTTAATTTCAGAGCTGCTTCTTTTTGTTTCTAAAATTTTGATAAACTTTCTAGTTTAAAGGGAACATTATGGTCTACAGCATTGTGTACGATGCACCCTATTATCATATATTGTATGGAGAAAACAGGTCTTGCGTCCTTTTTTCTGTCAAATCTATATAACTGATGCGCGCACATGCATTTTTTTGTTATCTGGATTGTTATTTGATGCGCACATGCATTTTTTTGTTATCTGGATTGTTATTTGATGCAGGAAGCCAAAAGGGGTATGCCTGCAGCTGGAAAGATAAATGTCACTCCTGTAGAGGAAAAGTTTGTGGATGAGGAACCTCTTGTTTTTGCAAACAAACTGGTAATAGTTTTACATTTGTACTGTGACACTTGGTTTCTCTTCTTTTTTTATGTAGAAGTTTGTAATCTAATGTTTATGAACTTGCAGGAGGCAAAAAATGCCTTCAAGTCACTTCTTGAATCTGCAAATGTAGAATCTGATTGGACTTGGGAGCAGGTTTTTTACGCACTTTGCTTCAAACTGCTATGTACTATTTATTCTATTTATTCTACAATATGATATTAATTTATTTTCAGACCATGAGAGTTATTATAAATGACAAGAGATATGGTGCTTTAAAGACGCTTGGGGAGAGGAAACAAGCATTCAATGAGGTACCGATACATAAACTTCTAACAGTTTATCCTTGAATCAGTTGCGATAGTTTTTTTAAAGGACTTCCAGTACTTACTGGGTCACCATATCTATTTGTTGGCTTGGATCATTCTTGTTATTCATGCGTTGGTTCTGTCTCAGTACTTGGGCCAAAGGAAAAAACAAGATGCTGAAGAGAGGCGCATCAGACAGAAAAAAGCACGAGAGGAGTTCACTAAAATGTTAGAGGTGAATCTCATTCTGCTTAAAGGCATCTCTTTAGACCTCAATACTCATTTGTACTCTGAACACTTGTGTCTATTGATTCCTATAGGAATGCGAAGAACTCACATCATCCACCCGATGGAGGTTTGATCTCATTCCTGTGCCTTTTCCATATATACAATAATCTAGCTGAAGGCCTAATTGGTATTTCTGTAACAGTCGGTCTTGAAATTGTAGCTAGTTTTCTGTATTTGGATTGTTGATCTATCTTTATGAAGTTTCAGTATTTAATGTTTTTGCAATTTTGACTATTTCAGCAAAGCCGTAACTATGTTTGAAGATGATGAACGATTCACTGCTGTTGAGCGGCCTGGAGACCGCAAGGATCTCTTTGAAAACTATCTGGTGGAGCTTCAGAAGAAGGTTCTTAACTCTGCTTTTTACATATTAGATTTCCTAGTTGTAATATTTATAAGATCTGATTGTGTTTTGATTTTTCAGAATGTTAAAGGTTTGTTGAGCATCATTGAACATATTCCTCTTAATTTGCGTTTCTGTAAAAGTGATAAAATTATATCTTGCTTAAGTGTGTGATTTGCCATGCCATTGCAAGTTTCTTATAACTTTGATTTATATCTGTTTGTTGTATCTCCTTATCATTATCGTCTTATTTTCTAGGCCTTTAAGCATTAACATATGGTTGGCTGTGTATCAAAACTTTGTGCTGAAGGGCAACACTAATTATTTGTCAGAATTATATTTGGCTGCCAAGCTAACATCAATTACCTTATTTTTTTTGCATTTGCATTGATTTACTTAGAAAGTTACATTTGAAACTTCTTCCTGAGTTAGAAGTATCAATGAATGGAAACTGGATTTGATGTTTGGTATAGTGACTGTACTATAATGTGGGGGAAAAGAGTCTTGCTCACTTAGGCCCAAATTGATATTGCTTTGCTTTTTAAGTGCGGTTCTACTAATTTTTTCAAGAAGTAGCCAATAATGGGAGTTTTCTCTCCTTTTCTTTTTTTTGGATGCATGTTGAAACTACTTCTGCTTTTAGGAGGGTATTTTTTAGAAGCAACTTGTGGGTGCTTTTAGAAATAGCTTTTGCTTTCTTCTAGTTTATATATCACATATACCTTTTGTCTTTTGATAATGATCATTAAGCACAATTATCCAAACATCATAACTATTTTTAAAGCAGTTTTGATATTTAATTACCAAAAAAACTATTTTCTGCAGCTTATATAAGTTGCTTCTATAGACTGTTGTTATAAGCAACTTATTATAAGCTCCAACAGTACCAGACTAGCCATTGAACTGTTAGTTCACAGTTTGTATACAATTACAATTAAGGTTATTGATAGTGGATAGCATCACATAGCAATGAGGCACTGCTAAGGCTATGTGCGCCTATGGTGGCAAAATAGCAACAAATAGCTCATAGTCAAATAGTTGTCCTATTTAAGTATATTTAAATATTCTAAAAAATGAGAAAAATTACAGAAAAATCTAAAAATTCTACAAATGCATATTTGATGATTTGTAGAGATCCTAAGCATGAAATAGATGTATAATGATTGCATAATATTAACAAAGTACTCTAAAGAATAAAAAAGTGTACTTGTTTATAAAAAAACATCGTTATTTGTCTCATTCCTTCAACTTTTAAGTTTGTAATACAAAAATTGTCAACAATAAAAAAACATTGCTTAGTAACACCATCATTATATTAATTATTCGCAACTTGACATAAAAATAAAATCTTTAAGCATATATAAATGAGCAAAGCAAGATAATGTCATGATAGATAATAACAATCTATATACACTAAGCAAGCAGACTCTAAGCAGATGTCAAGTAGGATTTGATTATGTAGCGTTTTATTTCAAGCCAGGTCGGGTTTGGGTCGCTAATGGGTCAGAATTTAAAACTAATAGCCTATTAAGAATAATGTTATTTAGCGCTTAAAAGAGCTTTTAAGCGCTAAACAACGCTATTTCGTACTAGGGTGGACATGGGCGGAGCCAGTTCAGGCCCGTGACCTGGCCCTCCCGGTTCAAGGCTGGCCCTTACACAGGCCTCGGCCTAATCAGAGTGTGTTGAGCCTACTTCTCTGGTCCTGGGTATAAGACTGGATCCAGCCCAGCCCACGACCTGCCTAGGTGCGGGCCAGGTTTGACCTGGCCTACGACTCGTGGATCGTTGGTCGGCCCATGGGTTTTTCGTTCAATTTTTTCTATTCTTTTACATTTTTAATTATATTAAACTTGTATTTATAGTTATAAATTATATGTTTTAGTAATTTAAACTTGTATTATACTATTTTTAAATTTGTATTAAACTTTTTAATCCTTCACAATAGACAACAACGAGCTTTAAGCTCGGTGCTTTGTGTCTTAATGGGCCAAAAGGCCCACGAGCCAAAAACATATGGTCTTTTGCCTTTATTGACAACTAGCTGTAGACCCAAAAGGCTAAAGGAAGAGTTAGCCTAACTAAAAAATATGTCATGGGCGGGTCGGGTGTGGGCCGGGCCAGCGTGGGTCGGGCCTACCTCCCCCAGGTCTGGGGTTAGACCCGGCATAGCCCAGACTAGCCTGGCCCCTAGCCCAAGTATATCATGTGCGGGGTCAGGCCTAGCCCATTAAGGGCTGGGCTAGGCCGTGACCCATGGCGGGTTACTGTATCCAATCCGGTCCCTAGCTGTCCCGTACAAATGGTTGATAATATCCAGAGTAAAGGTGAATGAAATATCTAAAACCGGACCACTGAAAACTGATATTTTGTGGAGTATGTGTCCATTTTGTCAGCACCCTCCGTATTTATTTAAATACAGATATTCAAAGAGCAGGGTTGGAATCTTTCTGTAACTTTCTACAGATTTAACATAAGCAGAGTGCATATGAAGATCCCATTGAAGCAGCAAATACTATGCATATTGTATGTACATGGGTGAATCAAGCTGTGAATCCTATGCATAATGTGCGCATATCGGGTGAATCATGCTGCATGCTGTCATAAATGGCTATTCTTGGTGTTACCTGTATGACGGGGGAGTTTGTAAACAAAGACCCTTCTTATCATCTTCTATACTGAGATATCCCATGAGTTCCCGCAAGTTGAATTGAAATTTTGCCATCAACTTCTTGGCCTAAAATAGTAACCTTTCTTGGTAAAAGTCCGTTGATTCAGACAATTGTATCCTTTTTGAACTGTAAGCACATCTTTTGAAGCACGCGGTTCAAAAAATTGTGGATGGGTGCCCCCATTGTGGATTGGTTAGAATTATTTGATTAAAAAACGTAGGTTCTGCATTTTTTTGTCCCATATTAACAACAACGTGAGTTTTCCGACCTTGTTGAGATAGTAATAATTTTTTTTTTGAGTTGGTAACTGTGGAATCAACCTCGTTTTATAGAAAATATATTTCCATTATTCTATTTTATAGAAAATTATTCTTTGAGTTGGTAACTGTGCATCTCTTTGAAATCAGAAGACTTATTTGGTTGGTTTTTTTGAGCAAAATCATCTGAATGCAGATATCAGTCTTTTTAATTTTCAGGCATACTTAATAAGATCCATTTTATGTGTTTTCATATGCATTATCTTCTGTGTGTAAAATTTTGGGCTACAATTGGAACGCCTTCCTCTAAAGATTATTAATAGTCTTCTAAATATGCATCTTTATTCTTTAGAACTTGGCTACTTTTTGCACTATCTTGAATATTGTAATGTGCTGCTATGACTTCTATTTTCATGTATAGTAGACCATGTGCCTTACGTAGTTCAGACATCTCTAAAAGGTCATGGACAGCAGGTTTCAGATATTTATCTGATGTCCTAGTATTTTATTGTTGTCTACATCGCCAGCAGTATATAGATTGGATGCTAACTTTAATTCAATTCTTTTGTTCTTCTCGACTCTTATGAAGGAAAGAGCAAAAGCAGCAGAAGAGCACAAGCGAAACATTGCAGAATATAGAACTTTTCTTGAATCATGCGACTTCATCAAGGTGCTATGTAAAAGTGATTATCTTTTTCTCTCATATAGTAAGGCTTTTGCTATGTATGTACTTATTGCTTTTCTTTTATATATAGGCAAACAGTCAATGGAGGAAAGTTCAGGATCGCCTGGAGGATGATGAGAGATGTTCTCGACTTGAGAAAATTGATCGACTGGAGATTTTTCAGGTAATCTCTCCCACATCTTAATTCCTTTAGCATCTTTTTTTATTTATTTTTCTCGAAGGTACTTCTGCTAATCTCTATATAATTCAGGAGTATATTCATGATCTGGAGAAAGAGGAGGAGCAGCAGAAAAAGATGCAGAAGGTGTGTTTTGGTTTATTATATATTTTGGGGACATTTGGAATATTCTTATTAGCCTTTCTACGAATTTTCTAGGAGCAATTAAAACGGGCAGAACGCAAAAATCGGGATGCATTCCGCAAGATGATGGAAGAAGATGTTTCTTCAGGTTTGCTTACAGCTAAAACTCACTGGCGAGATTATTGTGTAAAGGTATGTAGCAAAATTCTGTCCATATATGAAATGGGATGTCTTTACTCTTGCTACTCTTAATAGCTTTTTTGCCCCCGGGAAGGTCAAGGATTCACCATCCTACCTAGTGGTGGCATCAAATACGTCAGGTTCGACACCTAAAGACCTCTTTGAAGATGTTTCAGAGGAGCTTGAAAAGCAGGTAGTTTTGGAAACAATTCTGCTCTGTATGCCTTCTATTCTATTTTACTTTTTCTTAGGATATTGGTTTTCCTTGAGCTGGGTAAAACCTAGTATTACTATCGCACCACTATGGAGCGTTCTGTAGCACTGTATCCAATCCGGTCCCTAGCTGTCCCGTACAAATGGTTGATAATATCCAGAGTAAAGGTGAATGAAATATCTAAAACCGGACCACTGAAAACTGATATTTTGTGGAGTATGTGTCCATTTTGTCAGCACCCTCCGTATTTATTTAAATACAGATATTCAAAGAGCAGGGTTGGAATCTTTCTGTAACTTTCTACAGATTTAACATAAGCAGAGTGCATATGAAGATCCCATTGAAGCAGCAAATACTATGCATATTGTATGTACATGGGTGAATCAAGCTGTGAATCCTATGCATAATGTGCGCATATCGGGTGAATCATGCTGCATGCTGTCATAAATGGCTATTCTTGGTGTTACCTGTATGACGGGGGAGTTTGTAAACAAAGACCCTTCTTATCATCTTCTATACTGAGATATCCCATGAGTTCCCGCAAGTTGAATTGAAATTTTGCCATCAACTTCTTGGCCTAAAATAGTAACCTTTCTTGGTAAAAGTCCGTTGATTCAGACAATTGTATCCTTTTTGAACTGTAAGCACATCTTTTGAAGCACGCGGTTCAAAAAATTGTGGATGGGTGCCCCCATTGTGGATTGGTTAGAATTATTTGATTAAAAAACGTAGGTTCTGCATTTTTTTGTCCCATATTAACAACAACGTGAGTTTTCCGACCTTGTTGAGATAGTAATAATTTTTTTTTTGAGTTGGTAACTGTGGAATCAACCTCGTTTTATAGAAAATATATTTCCATTATTCTATTTTATAGAAAATTATTCTTTGAGTTGGTAACTGTGCATCTCTTTGAAATCAGAAGACTTATTTGGTTGGTTTTTTTGAGCAAAATCATCTGAATGCAGATATCAGTCTTTTTAATTTTCAGGCATACTTAATAAGATCCATTTTATGTGTTTTCATATGCATTATCTTCTGTGTGTAAAATTTTGGGCTACAATTGGAACGCCTTCCTCTAAAGATTATTAATAGTCTTCTAAATATGCATCTTTATTCTTTAGAACTTGGCTACTTTTTGCACTATCTTGAATATTGTAATGTGCTGCTATGACTTCTATTTTCATGTATAGTAGACCATGTGCCTTACGTAGTTCAGACATCTCTAAAAGGTCATGGACAGCAGGTTTCAGATATTTATCTGATGTCCTAGTATTTTATTGTTGTCTACATCGCCAGCAGTATATAGATTGGATGCTAACTTTAATTCAATTCTTTTGTTCTTCTCGACTCTTATGAAGGAAAGAGCAAAAGCAGCAGAAGAGCACAAGCGAAACATTGCAGAATATAGAACTTTTCTTGAATCATGCGACTTCATCAAGGTGCTATGTAAAAGTGATTATCTTTTTCTCTCATATAGTAAGGCTTTTGCTATGTATGTACTTATTGCTTTTCTTTTATATATAGGCAAACAGTCAATGGAGGAAAGTTCAGGATCGCCTGGAGGATGATGAGAGATGTTCTCGACTTGAGAAAATTGATCGACTGGAGATTTTTCAGGTAATCTCTCCCACATCTTAATTCCTTTAGCATCTTTTTTTATTTATTTTTCTCGAAGGTACTTCTGCTAATCTCTATATAATTCAGGAGTATATTCATGATCTGGAGAAAGAGGAGGAGCAGCAGAAAAAGATGCAGAAGGTGTGTTTTGGTTTATTATATATTTTGGGGACATTTGGAATATTCTTATTAGCCTTTCTACGAATTTTCTAGGAGCAATTAAAACGGGCAGAACGCAAAAATCGGGATGCATTCCGCAAGATGATGGAAGAAGATGTTTCTTCAGGTTTGCTTACAGCTAAAACTCACTGGCGAGATTATTGTGTAAAGGTATGTAGCAAAATTCTGTCCATATATGAAATGGGATGTCTTTACTCTTGCTACTCTTAATAGCTTTTTTGCCCCCGGGAAGGTCAAGGATTCACCATCCTACCTAGTGGTGGCATCAAATACGTCAGGTTCGACACCTAAAGACCTCTTTGAAGATGTTTCAGAGGAGCTTGAAAAGCAGGTAGTTTTGGAAACAATTCTGCTCTGTATGCCTTCTATTCTATTTTACTTTTTCTCTGTATGCCTTCTATTCTATTTTACTTTTTCTTAGGATATTGGTTTTCCTTGAGCTGGGTAAAACCTAGTATTTGCAAAGAATTCCTACACATTCCTTTTGATGTCCTTTCCCTAAGATAGGTTTAAAACTAGATGCTTCTCTGAACTTTATGGAATTAGTCATTGATATGGAAGCTGAGGAATTCTGGAGTCTGAAAATCTTTCATTCTGTATAAGACTATCCTCTATGTATGGTGAAAAAGATCATTCAGTTACATAGGCAATGCTATGACTTCAATCTATGTGGAGTACATATGGTTGTATATTTTGTTGAATTCAAGATACCTAATTGGATATGCCAGATAATTTATCGCTATGATTCCACACATGTCCATATTAAATACATAGATACAGACATGCAAATATCCATATTTGTCAAAGTACAAATATTGTATCAGTTTCAAGTCGGATCGTATGTATCCATTTGGATCCTTATGTGCACTATACTGTGGGGGGTTATTGGTAGAGGATTGACACAACTGATCGATAACCTCTTATCATTTGATAGTAATGATTGATTTTATAGGTCCAAACTTTTTATACTGCTACTGACTGAATTATGCTAGTAACATGAACACAAAATATCAACTTCAAAGATGGATAAATAGTTACCTCTAACTAGCAATTCTCAATCACTAGTCTTTGAATCAGTTTCCTGTTTCCCTGCATGTGATAAAGCGGTGAAGTTAGAAACACATCCTCTTGTATTAGTTTTCATCTTAATTCACACGCGATATCTAATGGTAGTTTGCTTGAGTGTCAGTTGTACACATTGTTCCTTACGGAAAGTTGAAACTTATATGTGGTGTGACAGATAGGGTAACTACTCTGTAGCTTAGTGGTTATATGTGGATACTCCTGCTCTTGGAAAGTTTCACTGACATGTACCTCCATTTTTTATTTATCGTTTAGGTCATACCATATGGCATACCCCAAATATCCGAGTTTTAAAAAAAAGTCTAATGAGTGAAGGATGTCTTTCTCCGTCCAAATTGGACTGGGTACAATTTGAAATTGATTTAGTCAAGTCACGGTGTTCTACTAACTGTTAAGCGTCACACAACACACACACGCAAGTGCATGCTTCACACTCACAGTTAGCATACCGCCATGCTGTAGTGTTTTAACTTTTCTTGGAATTCCTGCATTGGTATGTCCACATCATATTGGCATCCCTGTATCCATCCATCACAAGTTGATTTGCTTGTTGAATTCCAATAAAGTGCCAACATCAGAAACTTCATCTTTAAACATTGTTAATCTTGGCTGCAACTACTGGGGCAACATGCAACTGCAAGTGAAAGTTGATTGTTATATGATTCCTGACTATCCTATTCGCAGTACCATGATGATAAGGCTCTGATCAAGGATGCGATGAAGACTAAAAAGGTAATGTAGCATGTCATTTAGATTCCCTTCCTAACTATTTTATGTATTTATTGTCAATGCTTAAAATTTCAGATTGTTCTGACGACAACATGGGATTTTGAAAGTTTCAAAGATGCTGTTTTGGATGATGAGAATATGAAGGGAATATCAGAGATAAACTTAAAGGTAATCCCCTCGTCTTTTTCTCTGTTCTGCCTGCAATTTATAACTTTTATTTAGGATTTGGCATTTGCCTTCTGATATTTTCATTCTGAAAGGTAATTAGATTTATTTTCTTCTGATTGTTAGAACTATTGAGCTCTTATTTGTCAGCATTCCCTTTTCTCCCCTGTTCTGCATGTTGGACAAGTTTTCATCACGATGTAGTTAGCTTTTTAAATTACATTCTCAAAAACGTGATATGTTCTAGGTTTGATGGTAAATGAGATCTCCCTTTTGATTGGAACAATTAACTAGTAGTAGCAAGCCCTTATTATTTGTCAGCGATCTTTTCCTCCCTCTAATATGTAAGTGTTTTCTTCATTCTTGACCCGTCTTTAAGGGATGAGAGAAAAAAAGTGATGTGTGTGATTTATCAAGTAATTATTCGTGAAATTCAAATTTATGAGTGACTCCAAGAGGTTATGGGAAAGGCTAATTCAAAAACAATGGAGACAAATAACTGCATATGCAGGAACTGGTTTGACTAGTTGGTCTGAATTGTACCAAGGAAAATGTCTCTTTCTAGAACAATTGGAGAAAGTTTTCCCAAAAGGAGATAAGAATCTTACATTTACACGATTTTCTGGTAGTATATGGACGCACCTTTATAAGGACCTCACCCAGAAGTTTTTATTTTTCTGTAGCTCGTATTTGATGACTTACTTGAAAGGCTGAGAGAGAAGGAAGAGAAAGAAGCCAAAAAGAAGCAACGTCTTGGAGACGATTTCACAGATCTTCTGCATTCATTCAAGGTAATAGTGATTTTATTGTTAAAAGAAGTACTTGCTTATCCTGTCTTATCATATTTGACTTTTTTTTGTGGGCAGGAAATAACTGCATCTTCAAACTGGGAAGAAAGCAAAGTGTTTTTTGAAGATAGCCAAGAGTACAAGTAAGCATCATAATCCGTAATTTTTACTGCTGACATACTTGTTCGCGTACTACTAATTCATCCACCAATATATTCCCGATTAATAATTGTTGAGGAAATTATAGGTCCATTGATGAGGAGAGCTTTGCAAAACAAATATTTGAGGAGTATGTTGCACACTTGCAAGAAAAGGCAAAAGAGAGAGAGCGCAAGAAAGAAGAAGAGAAGGTAAAACATTTGATGACAACTTTCAAACGAGCTTTTCTCTGATGTGCTGATCTGTTTCTTATGTGCTTGATTTTCAGGTGAAGAAAGAAAAGGAACGAGAAGAGAAAGAGAAGAGGAAGGAGAAGGAGAGAAAGGAGAAAGAAAGAGAACGCGAGAAGGAGAAAGGAAAGGAGCAAGACAAAGAAAGGGAACGCGAAAAGGAGAAAGGAAAGGAAAGGTCTAAAAAGGATGAATCAGAGATTGAAAATGTTGATGATAGTCGTAGTGGAAAGGACAGAAAGAGAGAAAAAGACAGAGATAGAAAGCATCGAAAGCGTCATCACACTTCAGTAGACGATGAAGCCTCCGATAAAGATGAGAGAGAGGAGTCGAAGAAATCGCGTAGGCATAGCAGTGATCGCAAGAAATCTAGAAAGGTATTTACATATTTACCATTTTTTGGTCAAATTTTTACAGTACCAGTGTCACTTGTTGCTTAACTAGCTTTTTTTCTAATTCAATACTGTGACTTGTGGCAGCATGGATATACTTCAGATTCTGATACCGAAATCCGTCACAAAAGGCACAGGAAAGATCGAGATGGGTCTCGTAGAAATGGTGCTTATGAAGAGCTTGAAGATGGAGAACTTGGAGAGGATGGGGAAATCCGTTAGTGTTCTTTACCTTAAACCTTTTGGGGGCTTGATATTACATTTGCAATGATTAACAAAGCTGCATCAGATCAAAGGTCATACAAATTTCTTAGTTTTGCTTAAAAAAAACCCCCACGAAAACAGTCGTAGCTTAAGATGTTTTTTGCACAGTGATGTCTGACAATGAGTGAAGTGATGAGCACTGGAGTCATAGAGTTCAAAGTACAATTCTGCTGCTTTAGCTTCTCTTCTTTCCATGTGATGATTATGTACTTGTTTCGAGGGTGCCATGTTCAATTGTTAATGGTTATAGTAGTTTTATTTTCAATTTTTTGACGGCTCCTGAGGTTGCATATTACATCCACCAAATGTCGAATCAGGGAATCCACAATTCGGCTGTCAGCAAAGGTAGTAGTATCCATGTATCAATATTTTGAGGGTATTGAGGTGCTGAATTGATTCAATGCGAAAAAGTAAGAAGCCATGAAGTGGCACCCTCTTTACTTTACTGCCTTTAATTTTTTTTTTTTTTTTTTTTTTTCATGTTTTATTTTTTTTTTTTTTTTTTTTTTTACATGTTTGAGGTAAGGTCGCCAAGATTGTTTGCATTTGAACACATACTTGTCTCATCTTTCTTTGCATTAACTTTTTTGTTATATTATTAACGGCTTGAAATTGTTTCATAAGCTGAAGAGGGAACGGTTGCATGCATGACTTCGAACGCTCATCAGCTCATGGTTGTTGGGGTGTTGTTTTGTTTTGATTTTGACGTTTTCATAGACCTGCTAGCAATAGCTGGTGTTAGTTCATCCTCCTGAGTGACCGCTGATGCCTCCCCCGAGCCGAAGATCCCTCGTCCTCCTCGGCGAAGACTCACGGGCTCCAATGAGGTTTTGGGATTGGATTTACCGGTGATCGTCGTGTTTTCCCCCTCAAGAGCAGGGCAGGAGCAAAGAGAGAAAAGGTGTTGGGCATTTTTGTAACTACATATCCATGGATAGTCTAAATCTAGTCGTAGTTTAGATTTTTCGAATGTCTGAGATGGCGGCGATAAGACTGGTACCGAAGTGCGATAGGGTTGTTTCGATGTTAATCCCCGAGATCTTGAATATTTCAATATCAGCCTCCGTTATATTTAAAATTGCCCCAAACCATCACCCAACAAACTAGAATATTTTTTTTTTATATTTAGATATTAGGCCCCCTAATCTTTAAAATTGATCCGATGCCATTCAGATCCTATCAATATGTTGAAGTAACCTCTTTAGTTAAAATCTGGTTGAAATAGGGGAGTATTGTTTACTTTGGTGATTTGACAATCATATCCCTCTCACACAAACCCAAAACCGCCAACCACTTTTAACTTATTTCTGTTAAGCTCCCCAAATTCATTTAGTAAAACCCAAATCCAAACTCATTTTCACTTCATCTTCTTCAAGGTGTTCACCCATGGCACTCTTCGGCTCTAATTCCAAATTCACGTCGGATAAATTCCTGTTATGAAAGATGTCACGCCCCGCTTCCCAAAATACTGGGAAATCAGAACGTGAACAAGTCCGCGACGTATTCGATTGAGAAGAAATATTATCATCATTTTTTCTTTTCTTTTCTTCTCAATCCAATACGCTAAGCGTCAAATACATAAATCTCAATCACAGGTCCCCGATCACAATAGCAAGAATAGAAAGACAATCCAGAATAAGAAATAAACATATCATCCATAGTGAATCATCCCAGACATAAATATGGGTTCATCATACCCTTACTACAACAACAGTTCAACTAGGAAATAAGAAATACATAGTCCATAAAAGGAAATACTAACAAAATAACCAAATCTGTCACCAAACTAAAGAAAATACTGCAAGAGTGCTCTATTAGCTACTACAGAAAAGAAAATGCGTCTAGGCTTCAGTTTGTTCTTCCACTCCATCAGAAGGACATTCCGGCTGAGCATACACTGGCTCGGCGGCATCATCGAACTGAACCTGTTCGTTTCCTAAGTCTGACGCACACCAGAGAAAACAGGTGTACGTCAGCGCGTGCATGGCACACGGCAAGATCTCACATGAACAAATAAAACGGTCTAATGTTCCATGCTACGATAATAATAATAATAACAAAAAGATAATGATACATGCAACTGAAATCTAATGGTAACATACAACTATGTGAATACAGTGACTGGGTCGAATACTAACCAACCTAAAACTCAGTGGTCCACATCTCACACAGAGTCAACGCTCCTATCATCGGATAACTGGCTGTTCACAAATCCCCTACGTGCATCCAATACCGCTACACGAATCGGTCAGAGGACTACACGCAATCCGATTTCGGCCTGGTCCGAACTCAAGCAGAACTCGGGTGACTACACAAATTCACTGACTAAAGTGACTACACGAATTCACTTTAGCCCATCAAACCAACCCCAGTGACTACACGAATTCACTGGCGCGAGCCTGGAAGATACATCAACAGCTATATCCGATCACATGAACATTAACTTCCCCATCCCAACTCTTCTCGTTTTTCTAAGTCAACACAACACATGTCTTTAGGTCTTATTCATGTCACACAGGTCACTATAGTCATAAACTCCTAACGGTTCTCAATCACAACAAGGAACAATCAATGCAACTAATCATGTACAATAGTATCATAGCATATCAGATAATCAAGACTAAGAATTTGAATCATAAAATTGTTCTAAAATAATCTTTTGAAATAATAAAGTTATTTACTTAAAAATAATCCCTTTTTCAAAATAAGTTATTTTCTCACTATATTAATTCTAAAAATAATCTTTTAAAAATAATAAATTCATAAATTCAAAAATAATCTTTTTATAAGATAAATTCTTATTAATTCAAAATAGTCTATTTTCCCAAACATAATTTCTTTTTAAAAATATGTCATTCTAAAATGATTTCTTCCACAAAATAATTTCTAAAAATTATTATAATTATTCTAAAATGATTCTTTTTCCAAGATAATTCCTTTGAAATTATTATAATTTTCCTAAAAATGATTGCGGCAATGGCAGGGGAAGGCAGCGGGTGGCAGGGCGAGGTCGTCGGCGTCGAGGGCTGTTCGTCGGAGGCGGATCGGCGTCGCTGGGGTGCGCTCGTCTCAGGCGGAGCTCGCGGCGGCCATGGAGGGGGTGGTCGAGCTGGGCGAGGGTAGAGGGTGGTGGAGATGGTGTTGACGGTGGTGGAGGAGGAGCTCGGAGGTGGGGAGGTCCGTGGCTGGAGGGAGGCGGTTGAGGTGTGGGCGGTGGTCGGAGGTCAGCGGCACGGTGAGGGGCTGGGATGAGCTCGGAGGAGGGTGGAGGCGTTGGCGCGGCAGGATGAACGGAGGAGGAGCACGAGGTGATGCTGGGTGTTCGTCGACGGCGTGCTCAGGCGGGTTCGGATCTGGTGTGGGCTTCGGTGGTGAGGAGAGCGGGGAAGAGAGATATGAGGAAGAAGGGGGAGCTGGAGTTGGGATTTTGTAGAGGAAGAGAGGGAGAGAACTGATGAGGGAGAGAGAGAGTGAGAATGACAGTGAGAGAGATTGAGAGAGGACGTGTGAGAGTGAGAGGGAGATGAAAACGAGAGGAAGAGAGATGAATCTGGGGTTCTTTTGAGGAGTGGGGGAATCATGATGTGGGGGTATGCGGGAAACATGGGGGAGGGTTTTAGGGAAAGTGGGGTAGGGGAGAGAGAGAGTGAGAGAGAGATGAAGAGAGAGAAACAAAGTGAAATACCGTAGGAAAAACACGGGGAAAAATACCCCTTTACAATATAATTTAAAAATACCAAAAATTTAAATCAAATAATTATTAAAAATTTATGATCAAAATAATAATACTAATAACAATAACAATAATAAATAATTAACTATTAATTTAAAAGTTTTACCGAAATAATTAAATTTATAATTAGCAAAACTATTAAAATAATACAATACAGTATTTTTTTAAATCGTAGAAAATTCTAGAAAAATTGGGGAAATACAAATACTCTTTTAGAAAATAATATTTAATATTTAAATACCAGAAAATTATTTAAACCCGTATTAAAAATTTACGATCATTACATCCTACCCCCCTCAAAATAAATTCCGTCCTCGGAATTAAAACAAGGACGAAATATAAAGACAGATTCATCTCAACTCATATAAAGTTCAAAATATATTGCATATCCATAAATAGGAAAAGTCATACAAGGCGTTTCAAAATAAGATACAAGACAAGACAGCTAGGATTCAGGAAATAGATGAGGGTATCGCTGTCGCATCTCAGACTCAGTTTCCCAAGTCGACTCTCCAGGAGAATCTGGGTGCCACATCACACGGACAAGCAAAACGGTCTTATTCCGGAGGGTCTTCTCCCTTCGGTCTAAAATCGCCACAGGCTGCTTTTCGTATGTCAAATACGACATGACTTGGATCTCCAACGTATTTTCGCAACTGAGAAATGTGGAATACGTTGTGCACTCCAGCCAGTGCGGGTGGTAATGCTAGTCGGTACGCCACTTCTCCAACTCTGTCTAATACGTCGAAAGGTCCCACATATCGGACTCAACTTCCCATGCCTTCCAAAGAGAATGGTGCCTCGGTTGGGGGAAATCTTTAGGAACACATGATCTCCTGGCTGAAACTCCAAGTGCCGGCGTTTCGCATCTGCCCAATGCTTGAATCTGTCCTGCGCTATGCGAAGTCGCTCCCGAATGATCCTGACTGCATCAACTGATCTCTCAATCAACTCTGGCCCAAAAATCTCTCGTTCACCAACGTCGTCCCAACTCAACGGAGAACGACACTTCCTGCCATATAGTGCTGCAAAAGGGGCCATTCCAATACTAGCCTGGAAACTATTGTTGTATGCAAACTCCACCAAATGCAAGTGATCTTCCCACGATCCATGAAAATCAAGCATACAGGCTCTAAGCATATCCTCCAAAATCTGAATGGTCCTCTCCGATTGCCTATCGGTCTGGGGATGATAAGCTGTGCTGAAACTGAGACTGGTCCCAAGACTCGCCTGCAAACTCTTCCAGAACTCTGAGGTAAATCGGGTATCACGATCCGAAACGATGCACACTGGAACTCCGTGCAATCGTACGATCTCCTGCAATACTAGAGATTTACTAACACTCTTGGGAAAGGAACTCATTGAAATATATAGAGATAAATATTTTACCTCCATGTATCTTTGAGCAAGATGCTCCGTCGACTGTCCCACTCGGAAGGGAATGAAGTGAGCCGATTTGGTTAATCGATCTACGATCACCCAAACAGCGTCATTTTGTCTAGTGCTCCGAGGTAAGCCAGTAACGAAGTCCATGGTGACATGCTGCCACTTCCATTCCGGAATAGGCAATGGCTGCAAAAGACCTGCGATGCGCTGATGCTCTGCCTTCACCTGCTGACATACAAGGCACTTAGCCACACTACGAGTCACATCTCTCTTCATACCACGCCACTAATAATTTAGCTTCAGATCCTTATACATCTTCGTACCTCCAGGGTGAATAGAATACGGTGAGCTGTGAGCTTCCCGTAATAACTCCTCTCGAATATCTCCTCCTGGTACACAGATACGACTCCCAAATCGTAAGGATCCGTCCTCATGAACAACAAATTCCGGCCGAAGGCCAGCCACTGCTAACTCTCTGCACTTCTGAAGAAATGAGTCACCTGCTTGTGCAGCCTTGATTCGCTCGACCAATGTCGATTGAATCTGAAGATTCATCAAAGAAGCAGTGACTCCTGGAAGAAGAACTTCTATACTCATATCCCTCACTTCCTGCTAAAGTCTCCACTGAGCCGTGAGGGTCATGATTGCCGGCAAACGACTCAAAGCATCTGGTACCACATTGACCTTGCCAGGGTGGTACTGAAGGTCGATGTCGTAATCTGCCATCAGCTCTAACCATCTACGTTGTCTCATGTTGAGCTCCTTCTGAGTGAAGATGTACTTCAAGCTCTTGTGATCAGTGAACACCTTCACTTGCTCTCCCAACAAATAATGCCTCCAAAGCTTAAGGGCAAAAATCACAGCTGCCAACTCCAAGTCGTGGGTAGGATAATTCTGCTCATGCTTCTTCAACTGACGAGAAGCATATGCTACCACATGACCATCCTGCTGAAGAACGCATCCCAATCCTCTACCTGATGCGTCGCAAAACACCTCAAAGTTTCCTCTATTATCTGGTATCATCAAGACCGGGGCCGAAATCAGTCGATACTTTAACTCCTCAAATGCCTGCTCACAAGCATTAGACCAGACAAACTTAATATCCTTCCTCGTAAGTCGTGTCATCGGCTCCGCAATCTTCGAAAAATCTCTGATGAAGCGACGGTAGTAACCAGCTAATCCCAGAAAGCTCTTAATATCAGACACCGACTTAGGGGTAGGCCAATCCTTCACTGCAGATACCTTCTCCGGATCCACTGATATGCCGTCTCCTGACACCACGTGTCCCAGAAACGCAATACGATCCAGCCAGAACTGGCACTTACTATACTTGGCAAATAGCCGATGCTCTCTCAAGGTCTTCAACACGTACCGCAAGTGCTCCACATGCTCCGCTTCACTCTTGGAGTATACCAGGATGTCATCAATAAAGACTTCTACAAACTTGTCCAGCACATCATAGAATACCAGATTCATCAGGTTCATAAATGTCGCCGGTGCATTAGTCACACCAAACGACATCACTAAGAACTCCGCTTCACTCTTGGAGTATACCAGGATGTCATCAATAAAGACTTCTACAAACTTGTCCAGCACATCATAGAATACCAGATTCATCAGGTTCATGAATGTCGCTGGCGCATTAGTCACACCAAACGGCATCACTAAGAACTCATAATGTCCATATCTCGTCCGAAATGCAGTCTTGGGAACATCAGAGTCCTTGACCTTCACCTGGTGATATCCACTCCGCAGATCCAGCTTAGAAAATACTCTCGATCCTCCTAATTGGTCGAAGATATCATCAATACGGGGAAGTGGATACTTATTCTTCACTGTCACAGCATTCAACTCCCGATAGTCGATGCACATCCGCTTGGATCCATCCTTCTTACCCACAAGCAACACAGGTGCTCCCCAGGCTGATACACTGGGTCGTATCAAGCCTCTCTGCATAAGATCATCCAACTGAGTCCGAAGCTCGGCCAACTCAGCCGGAGGCATACGATAAGGAGTCTTGGAGATCGGAGCAGTTCCAGGCTTCAAATCTATGGAAAACTCAATTGCTCGATTTGGGAGAAATCCATAAATATTGTTAGGAAACACATCTCCAAATTCCTGAACTACAATTGGCTTCTCGGATTCCACTTGCATCGCAGCTAACGTCGCCTTCTTCGGTCTAGCTCTGAACTCTACAGGTCCGACCGATGTGCTACCACTAGTGAACTCAAATCTCGGATGATCCGGTATCTCGAATACTACGCTCCGACGACGACAATCAATGGTGGCAAAGAACGACCCCAACCAATCCATCCCAAAAACTGCATCAAAGCTCGGCAAATCTATCACCAGAAAATCTGCGAAGAGTTCCCTCCCGCAGATGACTACAGGGCATGCATCATAACCACTAGATGCTACTAAGACACCACTGCCAGTGTTAATATTCCAGCCCGTAGTCAAAGGAGCTATAGGAAGAGAGTGGGTATTCGCAAAGCGACGAGACAAGAAACAATGGGAGGCTCCAGAATCGAAGAGTGATAAAGCAGGAACGGAAGAAACAAGGACCTTGCCTATTATAGGAGGATGTAAACATAACTAACTCAGTATTCTTAAACAATCCTATCATAGTATCATTATGTAATAAGAAAATTCATATGCAATTAAGACTAAGATAAACAATTCTTACCAGTGATAACTCGATCGTTCGCCTCAGCTTCTACGGCTGACATCATGAACGTCTGTCGCTGAGGTTGCTGCCGGTGTGCTTCCTGATAACGCTGCTGCTGTGGAGGAAGAGGCCCTGCTCGAGGATAGGATCTGTGCTGAGGCTGTGCTGCCGGGGCTGGTCGAGGCGGAGCTAGAAGAGTTGTTCGAACTGGAGGTGTGGGCAACCGGGCCTGCTGTTTCTGAGGACAGTCTCGACTGATATGATCGGGGGACCCACAGCTAAAGCATAGGTGAAGACGCCTGGGGCAATCCTGCAGAGTATGACCAGGGTAGCTGCAATAGGAACACCTCACCGAAGGTTGGCCGCGAGTCTGCACTCCCGGGCGCTGATAAGGGTGATTCTGAGGGAATGGCTGACGCTGAGAGTGTTGCTGTCTCTGCGGGCCCTGCTGCTGCTGCCTCGGAGGGGGACGCTCGACATTCCGGGCCGGAGCTGCTGGTGTCCTGCTCTGAATCACGTGGGAGTCTTCAGGCTCCTTATCATCATCGTCCCCCTTTAAAACAAATTCCTCCGGAATTAAACAAGGACGAAATATAAGACAATGTCATCTCAACTTCAGTATAAAGTTCAAAATATAGTGCATATCCATAAATGAAAAAGTCTACAAGAGTTTAAAATAAGATAACAAGACAAGACCAACTAGATTCGAGGAAATAGTGAGGGATCGCATGTCGCATCTCAGACTCAGGTTTCCCAAGTCGACCTCCAGGAAATCTGGGTGCCAATCACAGAACAGCGAAACGGTCTTGTTCGGAGGGTCTTCTCCTTCTCCAAAATCGCCAACAGGCTGCTTCTGCTTGACAAATCAGGTCGCAACCAATCTCCGGAGAATTATCTATTACATACCGAATCTCCGATATTCCGAACTGAGAGAACGTGTTGGAATAGTATGCCACTCCATCCAGGGCGGGTGGGAATGCAAGTCGGATACGCCACTTCTCCTACTCTCTCTATATCGAAAGGTCCCACATTATCTGCGGACTCAACTTCCTCGCCTTCCGAACCGATGGTACCCAGGTGGGAATCCTCAGATACATGATTCCTGGCTGAAATTCCAAATGCCGCGTGAATCTGCCAATGCTTTGAAGTCGTCCCGAATGTCCTGACTGCATCAAATAAAGCAGCTGATCTCTCATCACTCTGGCCCAAAAATTTCCGTCACCACGTCGTCCCAGCTCAACGGAGAAGACACTTCCTGCCATATAGTGAACTGCAAAAAGGGGCCATTCATTATAGCTGGAAACATTGTTGTATGCAACTCCACAAGGCAAGTGATCTTCCACTGATCCAGTGATAAATCAAGCATTTACAGGCTCTGAAGCATATCTCCAAATCTGAATGGTCCTCTCCGACTGTAAAACTCCTCGGTCTGGGATGATAAGTGTGCTGAAACTGAGACTGGTCCCAAGACTCTGACTGCCAACTATTCAGAACTCTGAGGTAAATCGGGTACACGATCCGGAAACGATGCACACTGAACTCCGTCAATCGTTACGATCTCCTGCCAGATTACTAGAATTACTAACACTCTGGCGAAAGGAAATCATTGAAATATATAGAGATAAATTTTACTCCTGTATTTTGAGCAAGATGCTCTGTCGCGTGTCCATCGGAAGGGAATGAATGAGCGATTGGTAAGTCGATACTACGATCACCAAACAGCGTCATTTTGTCTAGTGACTCCGAGGTAGCATAACGAAGTCCATTGGTGACAATGTGCCACTTTCCATCCGGAATAGCAATGGCTGCAAAAAGACCGCGATGCCGCTGATGTCTCTGCCTTACCTGCTGAATACAAGGCATTTACCACACTCGGCCAATTCTCTTCATGACCACGCCACCAAAAGTTCATCTTCAGATCCTTATACATCTTCGTGCCTCAGGATGAATAGAATCGGTGAGCTATGAGCTTCCTAATCAAATCCCTCGAATATCTCCTCCTGGTACACAGATCGTACTGCCCAATCGAAGGATCCGTCCTCATGAACAACAATTCGGCGAAGCGCCAAGCCAACTGCTAATTCTGCACTTCTGAGAAATGAGTCACCCTGCTTGTGCAGCCTTGATTCGCTGACCAATGTCATTTGAATCTGAAGATTTCAAAGAAGCAGTGACTCCTGGAAGAAGAACTTTTTACTCATATTCCCTCGACTTCCTGTTGAAGTCTCCATGGCGTGGAGGTGCATGATTGCCGGAAACGACTCAAAGCATCTCGTACCACATTTGACCTTGCCAGGGTTAGGTACTGAAGGAATCACGAGGTTGGGGTGTACGGGAAACATGGGGGAGGATTTTAGGGAGATGGGGTAGGGGAGAGATGAGAGATGAAGAGAGAGAAAGACAGAGAGATCAACCGATGAGAGGGAAAACACAGGGAAAAATACCCCTTTACAATATAATTTAAAAATACCAAAAATTTAAATCAAATAGATATTAAAATTTATGGTCAAAATAATAATAACAATAACAATAATGAATAATTAACTATTAATTAAAAATATTACCGAAACAATTAAATTTATAATTAACAAAACTATTAAAATAAAAATAAAAATCAGATTTTTAAATCATAGGAAATTCTAGAAAAATTGGGAAAAATAAAAATACTCTTTTAGAAAAATAATATTTAATATTTAAATACCAGAAAATTATTTAAACCCGTATTAAAAATTTACGATCATTACAAAAGACCTTACGCCTCGTTTGGTACGTGAAAATGAGTGAGAATGGAATGCAATTCCAACTCTTTATTCATGCGTACCAAACACGATGTATTTTTAGGCGCTAGAATTGCTATTCTCACTTTTTATTAATTCCCACTTTATGTAGGAAGTATCATTCCCAACCATTTATAAGTAATTGATATTCCCACTTAAGTGGGAATAAAATAATAAAATAATTTTCGATTATACCCTCCTTAAAAGGTACGAATAAATATAAATTCTCATATGAAAAATTATTTTTATAGAAATAATATCATTAGCTACTCGTACAAATAGACAAATAGATGTAAAATATTAAAATACTATTCTTTGTTCGACTTTGCCCTAGTTCCATCACGTATGTTTCAATAGGAGTACTTACTCCCGCATGCTAATAGGATTGGGAGGCCTGAGATCAATTTTAAAGATTTGGATTGGGGGCTAATAGAAATATTGGAGATTTATGTGGGCCAGAGATTGATTTCAAGGATTTGGGTGGCTAAAATGTGAAAATACTAAGGGGCTGTTCGTTTGGAAAAAAAAACTGGGAAATCAAGAAATAGGAAACCTATTTCCTATTATAATTATTTTGAAGTTGTTTGGTTGGCTTAAAAAAGAAGGAAATTATAGAATAGGAGATGAGATGAGATGAGTTGTCACCTTATTATTGGATGATGTGAGTGATTTTTTAAAAAACTTATTTTGAGGTTGTTTGGTTGGTTAAAAAAATAAGAAAATGAATTGGAGGTATATTATTGAATGATGTTTTGAGGTTGTTTGTGTTTGGTTCGTTTTTAAAAATAAGAAAATAGATGAGATGAGATGAGTTGGAGGTATATTATTGGATGATGTGACACGTACTTAAGAAAATTGATTTCTTGTTTTTTTTTTAGGAAATGGATAGAAAGGAATGTTTAATGAGATGAGATGAGTTGTCATAATATTATTGGATGATGTGTGTGATTTTTAAAAATAAGATAAAATGAGATGTGATGAGTTGGATGATGTGACACATTTCTTGTGTTTGGTTTATTTTTAAAGGTAAGAAAGTAGATGAAATGAGATGAGTTGGAGGATAAAAATAATATTTTATTGGATATTGTGGGTGAGTTTTAGGGATGGAAATGGATAAAAATATTATTTTATTGATTTCCTTGTACCGGTTTCCTTTTCTTGGTTTTTAGGAAACCAACCAAACAACCCCTAAAGATACAGGGGACTGTCGAAATAAATCAATAGAATAATTCGGGTGACTGACATCAGAGATGTTAAAACCAACCACCCGGTGAGTAGGGGTAGAAATGGACCAAATAATTAACAAATAGTTGTATAATTGTTAGAATAACTATTCAGCCATATTCGATTGGTTTGTCTATTAAATATTCATTTAAAATTTGATCATCGCTTATTATTTGTATTATTACACATATAATATCATATTTTAAACTCATTTATCATTTTACTTAAGTTTTATATACTGATTTTAAGACTTAAATAATCTTAAATTTTTTTAATTAAAATTTTGATTTAAATATATATATATACATCATATATTATAAAGGAATAACTATATATTATAAAGGAATAACTTTTATTTATGAATTTTAATATTATTTAAAAACTATATTGTTTAGCACAATAAATATATTTTAATCTTCTATAAGTATTCGTGAACATTTATCAAATATCAAATATTTGAGTTTGAATTCAAAAAACTAGATATATAAATATTGGAATCCGCGTTCAAATTCGATAATTTTATACGTGTATAAATAGGAACGTATAGTATTCGCGTTCAAATTCCATTGGACCCGATAAAATAAACAATCAAACCGCACGGTGTCCAAAACAGCCCGCGGCCCGGGCCCGGCCCGGCCCGGCCTCGGCCCGGAAACCCGGGCCAAGTCCGGGCTCCGGGCCGGCTCTTTTGTGCCCGGCCCGAGCCCGGCCCGGCCCGAAATAGTAGTTTTTTTTATGTATTATATTATATATGTATATATAAATATATATAATATGTATAATATATGTATATATAATATATTTTTATATATGTATAATATATGTATATATATAATATATGTATATATAACATATTTCTATATATGTATAATATGTCATATGTGTGTATATATATACTCTCTCTTTGTATATAAGTATATATAAGTATACTCTCTCTTATGTAAGTATATATATGTATAAGTATATATAAATATACTTTCTCTTATATAAGTATATATAAGAATACTCTCTCTTATATATGTATAATGTATGCATGTATGTATATATATACTCTCTCTTAGTATATATGTATATATAAGTATACTCTCTCTTATATATGTATACTCTCTCTTATATAATATATTTCTATATATGTATAATATGTCATATGTGTATGTATATATATACTCTCTCTTAGTATATAAGTATATATAAGTATACTCTCTCTTATATAAGTATATATATGTATAAGTATATATAAGTATACTTTCTCTTATATAAGTATATATAAGAATACTCTCTCTTATATATGTATAATGTATGCATGTATGTATATATATACTCTCTCTTAGTATATATGTATATATAAGTATACTCTCTCTTATATATGTATACTCTCTCTTATATAATATATTTCTATATATGTATAATATGTCATATGTGTATGTATATATATACTCTCTCTTAGTATATAAGTATATATAAGTATACTCTCTCTTATATAAGTATATATATGTATAAGTATATATAAGTATACTTTCTCTTATATAAGTATATATAAGAATACTCTCTCTTATATATGTATAATGTATGCATGTATGTATATATATACTCTCTCTTAGTATATATGTATATATAAGTATACTCTCTCTTATATATGTATACTCTCTCTTATATAATATATTTCTATATATGTATAATATGTCATATGTGTATGTATATATATACTCTCTCTTAGTATATAAGTATATATAAGTATACTCTCTCTTATATAAGTATATATATGTATAAGTATATATAAGTATACTTTCTCTTATATAAGTATATATAAGAATACTCTCTCTTATATATGTATAATGTATGCATGTATGTATATATATACTCTCTCTTAGTATATATGTATATATAAGTATACTCTCTCTTATATATGTATACTCTCTCTTATATAATATATTTCTATATATGTATAATATGTCATATGTGTATGTATATATATACTCTCTCTTAGTATATAAGTATATATAAGTATACTCTCTCTTATATAAGTATATATATGTATAAGTATATATAAGTATACTTTCTCTTATATAAGTATATATAAGAATACTCTCTCTTATATATGTATAATGTATGCATGTATGTATATATATACTCTCTCTTAGTATATATGTATATATAAGTATACTCTCTCTTATATATGTATACTCTCTCTTATATAATATATTTCTATATATGTATAATATGTCATATGTGTATGTATATATATACTCTCTCTTAGTATATCCATCCTGGCCCCCGATGTGTCCGCCAAGCCTAAGCCCGGCGTCAGAGGGAGCCTCAAGAAGTAAGGAACAAAAAGCAAAACCATAAACCGAAAAAAAAACAAAAAATCCGATCTTTTTTCCCCGCCTCTCCTCTTCGTATTCAGTCTCTCATGCTTGTCCCATCCTGGCCCCCGATGTGTCCGCCAAGCCTAAGCCCGGCGTCAGAGGGAGCCTCAAGAAGTAAGGAACAAAAAGCAAAACCATAAACCGAAAAAAAAACAAAAAATCCGATCTTTTTTCCCCGCCTCTCCTCTTCGTATTCAGTCTCTCATGCTTGTCGTGTGATTCGACCTGTTATTGATGATGACATACGCTGTGTGTTTCTCTCTAGATATCGTTTTGTCTACTTTGATTGAGAAGTTGGCGACTTGATTTGGGTTTTATTAGGGTAAACTAAGGTGTTGCTAGGAAACTGGTTCGGTAACCTGGATTCTGGATTTCGATAGGATTGGTGTGCAGATGATGATGCACGACGCGCGAAGATGGAAAATAATGGATTTAGAGGGTGTTTAGGAATGGCTTTTTTTTTTAAGCTTATAAGTTAGGAATTTTGGCTTCTATGATAAAATGCTATTAAAATTGTCTGCATAGAACAGTAATTTGTTTGGTCAAACCAAGCTTATTTAAGTGAGCTTACAAGCTAGTTTTTCCAAAATATAGCTTTTTAAAATGGGACTTGTAATCCAACTTATTTGGTGTTTTATCGAACGTGTAGAGATGGAAGAGCTACCTTAAAAAAGCTAGTTTGGCCAAAAAAAAGCCGCCCGACACCCTCTTAATAGTAGATAAGATGGATGTCGTTTCGAAAATGGCGACATAATAATAAGGACTAAAACAAGTGGCACCTGCCATTCGAGCAATCAATGCGAGCTGTTTTAGTTCATAGTAACAGATATCCTTCTGATTTGCTAACTTCTTATCCTTTTTATTGTCTACGGATTGTTCATTAGTCTTTCTACTTACCCATGTAAGTGAGGTAGGTTGCAGGGAATTATGAAGTATGAGCTAAACTTTTGCGATCGATTTCTTACCTCGCATCTACCTCTAGGGATTTTTATGATTTGAAGTTTTCTAAATTATAGCTAAGTTGCCTTCTAGTTAGAGATTTGGATGATGTTATTTATGATCTTGAACTTATAGTTCTCAATCTGTTTGGATACAAAATGGAAAGTCTAAGGTGAGCAATAGCAGGAGCTGCAGGACAATTTAGGTTTTGACGGGATGAGGAGATAGATTTCTTTTAGATTGTCTGGCTTTTTTTGTATAGCAAGTAAGCCCAGGCTTTGGAGTTGTATAGCAACAGTTTACTAAGGGCAAACTGCAAAACTAAACAGATTCTAAACAGTTAAGAGGCATGATAAGAGTCAAATGCAAAGTTGGAAGATGGAACAAAGTTACAAGAATGTTCAAGTAAGATGTTGACAGCAAGTAGGAAAACTTGGTGAAAGGATTCCATTTAGCAATAAATAATAATAATAATAAGAAGAAGAAAAAAAGAAAAGAAAAAGAGTATCTTGGAATCACATTTATAAAAGATAGAATTATAAATTATTCACAATTCAAGGCTATAAGCCAATCATCAAGTTGGACCACAAGGCTGGGTTATATGCGAGGATTGGACGAAGGTAGCGATGGTGCTAGTACAAACAAATGGTAAACGTGAATGATTTAGGCAAATAAAGTTGAGGGAATGCTTTTTTATCGGTATATCTTCAACTGAGATCTTATCTAGAAAATTTTATTGCAAAAATTGAGAATACAAAATGGTGGATCTTGCTTCTAAGAACAAGTATCTGCATGAGTGGATTTATAAAAGAACATTCTTATGTATCTGAGTATTATGATAGGAATGCTCTGATTGAGATTTGTGCCATGAGTTTTTTGTCGGATGAAGGACGATAAGTAATTATTTGTTAAAGAAAACATTCTTCTACATGAATATTTATGTTTGCCTGCCATCTTCTGGTGGTGGTAAGCCATAGATTTGACAAAATGTACACCAGCAAATTAATAGATTTGCATGCTAATTGGTCATTTCTTCTGATGGAGCTTTGAGAAACTGGATTCAGACTTCTCAGTGCGCCTATATCCATATAACATGATGATCTTTAATATGTTTAACTTGCTGTATCTTTCAAGTTGCCATCTACGACTTGCTTATCTCTTGATCTTGCTTGAAATACATACATACATGCATATACATGTGTGTGTGTGTGTACTCAGTATGGAAGGAAGCTTGCTTCTTTGCAGTATTCTTTGTAGTATTCAAATCAATAATTTGCTTCATTCTGCAAGAATAAGGTTGTTACTAATACATTGAAGGGTAGGCTATTACCTGGAATTCATGATGTCAAATGTGATTAGTAGTCAAGGATCATCCCTCATTTGTATCTTCTCTATTTTATAGCTGAAAACACTGGAGCGAATGAGAAGAAGACGTGGAATCTTCTAGCTTCAGACTCTTGCTCATCGTACATGGAAATAAGCGTAGGGTTTAATTCCAAAGACTGGTTAGCTCATATGTAACAGACTATTATATATGACTGCTAAAACTGATACTCTGGTAATTTGCTTCCTGAGACAGGTTTACTAGTGTAATATTGAAGTGGTAATTTCATATATTTTGGTAAGTGAAGTTTGTAGCTTTATTGGATATTGCCTGCGGCCTTAATTATGATTTTCATCATTGATTTGTGTGTCATGGCGAACTCTCTCAGCCCTTTTGGTATTTATTTGGTATAGGGTGCTCTTGTTGCTTTGGGTGGGTATGAGCTCTTTTGGTGTGTGTATATTAATGATTTTGTTGGGTTGAATATCAAAGAAGAAGCTGCCTGCAAGCGTCGTCCATGTTTCTTTATACAAGACGAAAGATTCTGAATGCTTTCGGCTTGAATTATTTGCATATGCCTCGGTAGCGCACTATCTTGAGATTCAATGCAAGCTATTTGCTGTATATATATGCAGTGAGTGTGCATTTCTTGTTTTTTTTTTAAATTGGAAAAAGGGTAAGAACACTACTTTCAATGAGTGGACCGCGCAGCATGTGCGTTTCAGGAGATTGAGCATGTTTGGCGAATGGTCAAACCGGCTTGTAACCATTGCGACGTTTCTAAGCTCAGAAAATAATAAGCTTTCCTAACCCATCTTATTATTTAGTTCTTTAGTGGCTTATAGGCCGCATTGTTCGACCAAACATGTCCTATGGTTGTGTAGAAGACCATCCGGGCATTACACATGGGATGGGAGCCTGTGATATAACCAAGTACTGAGCGGATGATGCTTGGATGGATGACCGGCCGAAGCTCTGCGGTTAGTCAAAAACCTTCGATTGATGCCTAAATCACTGGGATGCACGATTAATGTGAAATCAGGATGGAGGCCGAAGCCCTGCACAACGTACACCGCTTATAAAGATGCTCTACTTCCTCAATACTTTTCTTCTGCTTTTTCCGTCTCGAATAACGTTGACTAAACCACTTTAACCCCCAATGTATATATTTAAGCCAAATTATCAGATTAGTGTGTAAAGTGCCCGCTTTTTTTTACTACTTTGGCCTATAAATTGACGTTGATGACTTTTCGGCATAAAACGCGACAAAGTAAGTTGTGATGATTAGGCATTTCCGATCGTCTGCCTCAAATTTTGTATTGAGAGGCACTAGGGGCACATCCTCTACCACACTCCCAACCACACCACCTCTCTTGCTACAGTGCACGGGCCTCACATGAGATTTTAATTTTAAAATCTCATGTGGGCCCCGTGCACTGTAGCAAGAGAGGTGGTGTGGTTGGGAGTGTGGTAGAGGGTGTGCCACTATCATTATTTTTTTGTATATATACACCTCAAATCCCATATTCCCCCAAACAACCCTAGAAGGAAAACAAAACAACTCCTCCCTCTCTTCCCCCAGCCAGCCTCCTTTCTTTCTCTTCTCCACCTGATCCCTAATCTCCCATCATCTCTCTCTCTCTCTCTCCTTTGCTCCCCCCTCCTTTGTTTATAAATATGAGAGATTTCGAAGGGTATATATACAAAAACAATCCTTAATTTTCGCGCTGTCAAAGTTGTTGCCGTTGTCGATCAGAAATGTCTGGTTGTTGCTGACATCAATTTATAGGTCAAAGTGGTATAAAGCAATCCAATGAGAGTATCTAGTGAGGATGGCCCGTGGCATGTAATGTGTATCAAATTGGATCCGCACATGAATCCTGATGCCCAATGATCTAACGGGGTTGATGTCCATTTGGTGCACATTTAACATCACGCACCCGGGATCATTTGATACTTTCATCCAATCTTATAATTTAGCCTTCTTCTCGAAATAATGAGATAAGACTTTTCAAGAGAATGGTTATCTTGAGAACGTGAAAGTGTATACCACTTTTGACAACGAGATTACAGTACCCAAGAGAACGGGGTTATCTTGAGAACACCAAGTATAATGAAGGCTAACAGCACGCGGTAAGAGCTCATCGAGCGTCTTGAATTTCCAAATTATCTTGAGACCTCGCTCAAAACTCAAAACTAATAATAAACCAAACAACGCTGCTATTTGGCTCGCGGGGGC